AGTGAAGAGGTTAGATCTTTCCCTAGGGAAATGGGGAGCCATGGAAGGTGCTAGACTAGACTAGGGGAGGACACACTCATACTTGCAGGTCAAAAAGACTCCTGTGCAGCAGTAGGGGGCAAAAATGGGGGAAGATTAAGATAATTATAAAATAATAGCGAAGTGGTACTAAGTGGCACTTCCCATTAACAGACCAAGCACTGTGGGTATGTAGTTCTCCGCCTGGCCAGAGTGGTTGATACTATTATTAGTTGCTTTTTTCAGAGGGGGCAAACTGAGACTCAGAGAGGAAACATAACAACTGGGAACCCAGAGAGCAGGAACACTAAGCGATCTGGCGGCTGAGGCTGCACTTCGGTCAAGGCCTCGGGTTTGGTCTGCAGTCCCAACCTGGCTCCCTTCACTGGAACCCCACCCCACCCCCGTTAAGGGAGGGCGTCCCAGCCAACTGGGTGGCAGCTGCTCATGAGAGCCAATCCGATTTCCTGGGGGAAAAAAAGTTTCCTAGAGGTCAACCACTGGTGGATGTCAAAGAATGAATTCCTGTCCCGAGTCAGATCCCTGGTACCAAAGAATGAATTCCTGAAAGCTTGAGGACTCAAACGGGTTGGTGATTGGCCAATCAGACAATGGCATGGGATCCTGTCCAATGAGACTGTGGCTGAGCAACCCCTGTGATTGGCTGCCTGCAGGAGAGGTCTCAGCCCTGACCCAAAACCCACCAGTTTGCTTTGGCCATGGGTCAGTGGTGTTGGGAGTTGTCCTGCCTAGCTGTGGTTGAACTACACTGTCCTGTGTAACATTTCCAAGCACCAGTTAACATGGGATCTTCTGGGGCCGGGTGTGGTGGCGCACACCTGTGATCCCAGCACTCAGGAGGCAGAGGCAGGAGGATCAAAGCAAGTTCCAGACCAGCCTGGACTACATAGTGAGACCCTGTCCCAAAACAAAACAAAAACCCATGAGATATTCTTATTATTTGCATCATCTTCCACTTGAACCTTTGTTTTACATGCAACAGAATTTCAAAACACCAGCTCCCCAAACAGGAAATCTCCAGACAGAGAAAGTGGCCAACAGTGAGGAGCTTGTGTCCCTTGCTGCTGGGAAGGACCCCAGAGGGCCCACTCTTCAAAGCCACTCTGCTTCACCATGCCCCAGGTCTACTTTGCCTCCTCTGGCCGTAGTCTGTGCAGATTCCCACCCGACCCCAGCTGGCCCAATCCTTTCCCCACGCCACGTGCTGCCAGCCGTGTGTCCCAGCCAAGCAGAGCAGCTCAGTGGGGTCCGGTGGGCACCGCTCCCCAGTGAGCAGCTGGCCAGGAGGGGCCGCTCCAGGCAGAGCAAGTGCCCCAGCTCCCAGCTGAGGAGGGAGCATGGTCATTGGGAGTCCTGGCCCGAGTGCAGAGGCCTCTCCTCCAGCCTGCCCCGCAGTGTCCTGCCAATTCCCCCACCATGTCCTGTAACCAGCCTTTTCCCGAAAGACACAGAGGTGGAGGCAGGCAGTCACTGGCTGGGTGGGGTTGCACGAAGGATGGCGGAGTGGGAAACCATGACTGTCAGACCCTGTGAGGCATGGTTGGGGTCAGGGTAGAGGGCGGCTGGCGTGCCTGGGTTCAAATCCTTCCATTACAAGCCAGGTAGTGGGTTGAGCTGGTACAAGATCCCACAGTGATTTAGGGCACAGAAAGGAGATTCTAAGGCCTTGACAGTGGTAATGGTTCCTGGACCCAGGACTGCTTGTCCTGAGTTGTAGTGAGCACCCTGTCCCCAGACGTATTCAAGCAGACGGGGAGACCTCATCTCCCATCCTGAGAGGCCCAGTTTTCTGACCACGGGGTGGCTGGAATTAGGCCTGAGGGTGACATCCCAACCTGCACCAACCCTTCCCCTCTTCCCTTGCTGGGAGAGCCTGCCACCCCCTCCCAGCTGGGTAGTCCAGCGCCTGGCAGCTTCCGGCCCCCTCCAATTGGCTGCGAGGGCTGAAGACGTCACTGGTTGCCATGGTGAACACCCTCATAGGGACGTGGGCAGTCTGGAGCCCACCGAAGTAAAAATAGCTGTGTGTCCCCAAGGCGGGCGCCCCAAAGTGTGTGCTTGGGGGGATCCCCAGGACTCAGCTTCCCACTGTGCCTCTGCAGAGAAATGTGGGCAGCCGGCTTCCCTCAGAGCCTCAGTTTCCCGGCCTGTAACCGGCCCATGGGTAGGTGCAGAACAGAGAATGGGAGGTGCATTGTTACCATGGAACCCTGCTGATGTTAACCCAAGTCACAGATGGAGAAACTGAGGCAAGGCATCGCCAATCACTTGGTGGGCCAGGAAAGAACAGATGCTACAACAGAGATGCAGGTTGGACCAGCCCTAGATTCGGAACTGGGGCTACACAGGCTGTCAGAATTGTCTCTCAGGCTGGCCACGTCTGAGCGTGGACCCAAGCCTAGGGCTCTCTGGCCTGCATGTGGGAACCCACCCAGGATCCCCGTGGGCTGTGTGCTGAGCTCTACGAGGGCCTGCACAAGGAAGGCAAGATGGGCGTGGTGACATGCCTGTCATCTCAGCACTGGAGAAGCTGAGGCAGGAGGATTGCCAAGAGTTTGAGAGTTTGAGCCTGGGCTCCATAGTGAGTTGAAAGCCAGCTTGGACTGCACCGTGAGACCCTTTCTCAAAAAAGGAAGGAAGGAAGGAAGGAAGGAAGGAAGGAAGCAAAAAGAAAGACAGAAAGAGCAGGAAACCATTTTTTTTTTTGGTACCGGGGATGGAACTCGGGACCTTAGCAGAGTGTTCATTTTAAGCCACTACTGGTATTCTTTTGGTTTTTTGAGACAGGGTCTCCCTATGTAGTCCAGGCTGGCCTCCAACTCATGGTGATCCTCCTGACTCAGCCTCTCCAGTGCTGGGATCACAGGCGTGCGCCACCATTCCTGGCCTGATATTCTTCTTGATGAATAGAATTCATTTCTTCATTTTTATGTTTAGATTTTTTTCTTGTGGTACTGGGAACTGAACCCAGGCCCTTTGCACTGAGCTACACCCACAGCACTTTTATATTTTATTTTGAGACAAGGTCTCGCTAAATCACTAAGTTTCCCAGGCTGAACTGAAATTGGCAATGCTCCTGCCTCAGCCTCCCAGCGTCCTGGGATCACAGGCGTGCACCACCATTCCAGCTATAGCTTCATTTATTTTAAATAAAAGTATTTTTTAAACCGGGTGTGTTAGGGCACCCTTGTGATCCCAGCACTTGGGAGGCTGAGGCAGGAGGATCACTGTGAGTTCAACGCCAGCCTGCAGTACATACGGAGACCTGGTCTCAGAAAACATGCATTTTTGCTGGGCAGGGAGATAGATTTCAGTCCAGGAGAAGGATGCTCAAGGTGAGACCTGAGATATGAGCCGCAGGCCTCAGCAGGAGGGGAGGTCAAGTGATGCCAAGGCCCTGGGGAAGGAGGCCTCCGTGGAGCTGATTTGGGGGTGTCATGGGTCAAAGGTCAGGGTTCAAAGGGCTGGACTTCCTGGGAATGATTCGGATCTTTCTTCTCTTTCAGAAGGAGCTGAGCCTGCCACGCCGGGGCCGCGGGTGAGTTCCCCTCCAGCTGTGGGGTTGGGGAGGCTGCAGTCCTGGCTGCGAGTTGCGACTTACTCAGTACTCAGACTCCTTCTCACCTGATCCTCCCTGGCATTGTGCTTCACAACGCTCACTGGGCTGCCACCAACAGCCTGGGAAACCCCGGTCGGTATGCAAATGTATGCAAATGAGGAACCAGAGACGTAGAGGCCTTGCTCCCAGGGTTTAAGGGCACCAGCATGGAATGAGCCACATTCCTTGCAGCCCAAATACCCTGATTCTGCCTTGGATGCCTCCTGCAATGGGGAGCTCACTTCTTTTCAGGGACCACGGGGAGAAAATAGTCTTGCTTGGGCTCACATGGACATTCCGGTAGGCCGGCATTTTTGCAGCTCCCTAAGCGCAAAGAGCATTTCGTGCACCCTCCTCCCCGTTTCCTGGTGGGGGACACCACAGCCCAGACGGGGAGCAGTTCGTGTCCTGCCTTGCGCCGGCTGGTGGTCTGGAAGTATGTGCATGTGGACACCCCGTGTTTGGAGGGTGTGTCTGGCTGAGTTGGGGGCAGAAATGACACAGCAAACACTGAGCATGGCTGTGTGCCAGGCCCTGTTTGAGGCCCAGAGACAAGGCAAGGCCAGGGGAGGGGACAGGAAAGTGAGGTTCGCAGAGGAGAAATTAAACAGAAGGGGTTGGGGGGACTGGGGACTTCAGCCCGGCGGCGGCGGCATGTGGGGTCTCCTAGGAGGCAGACTTGGGCATGTGGATCTGGAGAGGAGAGGCACTGTGGGGTGCCTGGGGAGATGGGATGGCAGGCGCAAAGGCCCTGTGGTAGGTGCCAATATGGCATCCAAGACCAGTGTGGAGCTGGGGGCTGGGGGCAGTGGCAAAGCAAGTGGAAGGCAGAAGGCCGGAGCTCGAGGAGGGGTCAAAGTGGCCCCCACGACGGACCATCTGCTCCTGCTGGACTGGGGCTGGCCAGCTGGTGGAGCGGGGCTCGGACATCGACCTGGCCTTTGCCCAGGCTGGGGGCAGGGTGGTGGCCAGCGAGTCAACCTTGCAGGGCAAAGTCCGGGGCCAAGGGGCAGGACCCGCCAAGACTCCCTGTGGATCGCCCCTCCTGCCCGCCTGTCCCTTCCTCCCTGGCTGCCTGGCTGCCTGGCTGGTAGCCCCTGGGCTTCAAGGTCCCAGAGAGGGACGCAGACACCTCTAGATCTGTGACGGAGAACAGGGGGCTGGGGACCCAGGGACAGCCTCGCGGAGGAGGGGCCGTGGGGGGCACTGGGACGTGGTCACGGGGACGCGTTCCTGCGGGGGCCCAGCGCAGTGAGGCCTTCGGGCCAGGGGTGTCCGGATGCGCGACAGGGCTGGGGCTCAGTGAGCGGGGACCCCGAGTGCGCGAGGTCCCCAGGCCCCCGAGACCGCAGAGGCGGGGGGCGGGGGGGGGGCGACGATGGAGCAATCGAGCCGGGCCAGGAGGCAGGGCCGCCCTTCCCTTCCGGCCCGCGGCTTGGGGATCGGGCCTGGAGGCCTCGGGGTCCCACTCTGGAAGGGGGGCCCGCGCCGGTCCCTACGCATCGCAATCCCGCCCGCCCGCCACGCTGGCCAGGGCGCAGGTGCTGGCCCGCAGCCCCGCCCCACTAAGGCTGGAGTCCGCTCGAGCCCTGCCTCTCCAGGGGCGGGGCCGCCTGTCCCGCCCATAAATGGGCGGAGCCGACAAATCCACGCCCCTCCAAGGGTGGCATACATCGTTACTCCGCCCCACCCGGAGGCGGAGTCAGTCTTGCCCGGCGCCAGGCCACGCTCCGCCCGCCGCCCTCAGATCGCGCCACGATCCAGGGTCCCGGCCTCCCGCAGGGCAAAGGCAGCTGGCGGTGTAGACGCGGGTAGCCTCGCCATGAAGTCCCGCAGGGATAAGCTACACATCCCGGCCCTGACCCTCGAGTGAGTGCCGCGAGGCGTGGGGACCCGGGAGGACCCGGACACCGCCCTGCCCGCGTCCCAGCGCCGCCTCCCGGGAGCCCTCCCAGTGCCCTGGCGGTCGATCCGGATCGGGCCGCACGCGGGGCGCCGCCAGGTCATGGCCGCCTCTCTCTTCGCAGTCTGTCCCCGAGCAGCCAGAGCCCAGCGCTGCTCAGCCCCAGCAGCCCCTGCAGCCCCTGCAGCCCTTCGCTGGGCCTGCACCTTTGGAGGTGAGTGACTCGCGGCCTTAGTCCACCCTCTGCACGCGGCCCTGCTGCCCCCTCGGCCGGCCCGCAAGGCCCTACCTCGGACAGGTGGCTGGGCGAGGCTGGAACTTGAGCTGTGGCCCAAGGACTCTCGGGACAGGTGTGGGGCTCCCAGGCTCCCGGAACATGGGCGGGACCAGAATGCTCAGCCAGGCTCAGAGTTCAGCCCAGGTCTCATCTGACCAAACTGAGGCTCCTGTGGCTGGGGTCTGTGGAGGGTTTATGACGCCTTCCACCGCTAGCCAGGATCTCACCTGTGTTCCGGAGGAAATATTATGGGCTCCTCATATATTTTGGGGGGCAATCATTTACACTTTAGTATGAATAAGCCACTTAGCTGTTTCCATTGGCTTTTAATGAGGAGAGCAATTTAGAGCCAGGCAACAGCCAGGTACCTTCATGCAAGCAGCGAGCACTTAGCAAGTGCCCACTGGGTGCCAGATGCTAAGAACATAGATGTGAACAAGAGGAAGGCTGTCTCCTAGGGGGTTCCCAGTCCCCTGAGGGAGGTGACCAAGGAATACAGGAACAGATAAATGAGACATGTTCAAGTGGGTACCTGCAGGAATGTGATGTGTGAGCCACAGTGAGGATGAAGCCAGGGGAAGATTGATGCCAGCTGGTGCAAACTGCATGTGCAAAGGTCCTGGGGCAGGAGGAAGGTTTTTACAGCATCTTCAGTTGCCTGGATGGGGAGATCTTTGGGCACAGGAATGGATGTGTTGAGATAGAAGGCAGGTAGAGCAGCATCCAGGCCAAGGGTGGTCAGGCTCGGGGACTTCGCTAGGGAGCCACGGGCTGCTTTGAGCCTCATTTTATGCAGGAAAATACAGGACCTCAGGATGTGTCACCCAGTGACAGTGCTGGGCAGTGCTGGGCAGTGCTGGGCCATAGGCCTGATTCCTTGACCTCTGCCAGGCTGGGATAGCATGAGTTGCCAGTGGCTGAGAGGGTTTTACCAAGAGGAAATGGAGGCAGAGAGAGTTTGGGGCTGGCCACCAGCCCACCAGGCTTCTCACTTGCCACCAGGGGGTGGGAGAGCCACCTGGCTGGGATCAAGCAAGGAAACGGGTCCCTGCCCCCAGTCCCTGCCCCCAGTGTCTTGGCCCTGAACCTGAGGAAGTATCACAAACCTCTCACTTGGCTTGTGTAGCAGCCATTTACACCTTAGTATGAATGAGCCACTCAGATCCTAGCAGTAAGCCCTCACTGACCCTCTGGATGTGGGCTGTTCTGGCCTCAGGCCCTTTGCACGTGCTGTGCCCTCAGGCCAGAGCTTCATTCCTTCTCTGTCTGCTGGGTCTCCACCAGGCCCTCAGATGTGAAGACTCCCTGGCCACCCTCTTGCTCCCATATCCCACACATATCCATGGCTTGTCTGTATTCCTTCCGAGCCCCCTGTCAGGTGGGACCCCTCCATCTTCTTGTGTGATTGCTGAGCTGTTACTTTTTTCTTTCTTTGAGATAAGGTCTCACTATGTAGTTCAGACTGTCGTCCTTGAACTCACTCTGTAGTCCCGGGGTGGAACTCTCCAAGTGATCCTCCTGTCTCAGCCTCTCCAGTGCTGGGATCACAGGCGTGCGCCACCACGCCCAGCTTGCTGGGTGGTTTTTAATCTAATCTGTACAGCCTGGATGAACAGGGAGCAGCTGCAAGGCTCCATCCGTGGGGAGGGGGTGGCAGTGGTCGGCGGTGGTTCCTTCTGGGGCCTTGAATGCCAAGGGCAAGAGGAAGGTGGAATTTCTAGCTCTGTCAGGGAGGTGGGGCGGAGAGGCACCGGCAGTGCGTGGGCAGGTGGGCAGCCTGAACTGACTACAGGTTGCGTGAAGGATCAGTACACCTACCCGGGGCTTCGATATTACAGCCCCTAGGGTGTCAGAGAGAAGCAACCGTCAGGTCATAGAGTGGCCGCGGGACACAGCCCGCGGGCGCACAGCAGCGTGGGTTTGCGGAGGGCTCTGGGGAGCCATGGCGGCTGAGTGCGGGAGGGCGCCCTCTGGTGGGCACCGGAGACCCACCGTCCAGGGCAGGCCTTAGCCAAGCAGCAAACCCTGAACCTGCTCACAGAGGGGAAAACGGGCCAGAGGGGCATGGGAGAGGCAGGTGCTGGGGATGCCAGGGCAGTACGGGGTGCCTGTGGCCGTGTTCTGCACATGTGCAGAAGTGCCCCCCCAAGTTGGGTGGTGACAGCCGCGGAATCCATGGCTTCGTCCTCAGAACCAGAAGGTTCCATCTTCTATGCCTGGCTCGAGGCAGACACCAGGGGCTCCGAGGGAACCACTCCTGTCCCTTGGTCTTCACAGGTCCCCTGGGGCAAAAACAGGTCCAAAGCCTGGTGTGGTGGCGCACCTCTGTCATCCCAGCACTCTGGGAGGCTGAGGCAGGAGGACTGCAGGGTGGAGCCCAGCCTAGGCAACTTAGTGACTTAGCCAGTTCCTGTCTCAAAATAAAATGTAAAAAGGTAGGGACGTTGCTCAGTGAGAAGGCCCTGGGTTCAATTCCCAGTACTGAAAAAATAAAAGCAGACCCCAAATCTACTTCCTCCCATCATGAGCTTCCCACCGTCAGTGTCCCCAACACTGCCCAGCCCCTCGCTGGCCTCCTGACGATCCGTCCTGTCCCGTCCCTGCCCCCCCCCCCGCTGTCCGTGGTGGCTCCCCTGCAATGACCCCAGCAGGCTCCCATGGGCAGCCGGCTGCATCTCCTCTGGACTCCACCTGAGACTCCACCTCTGTAGTCTGCTCCTCGTTTTTCAGTGCCCCTCCTGGCTGCCGTGTCCACTTCTCCAACAGGTCCCGGGCTGAGTCACCATCTGCCTCTTCACACTCCGACGACATCACCTTATGTTGTTGTGGCTGCCTCTTCTCTGTCCCCCAGCCCAGGCCGCCCCTTTGAGGACAGAGAGTTTGTGTTGCCTGGTGTTTGTTGCCCGCTCATTGCCGGGTCTCCGGGTTCAGCACAGGGGCAGACATACCGTGGGTGCTCTGTCAGTGTTTGTTGAGTGAATGAACGACCGGGTGTGGGTGTTTCAGCTCTGGGTCTAGGAAACCTGGGCAAGAGCATGGGGACACCAGAGGTGGCACTGGGCATAGCAGAGCCTGTGACTTGAAACAGGGATGGGTTAGGGCCACACATTAAGTGGCAGCACCCATTTGTGCCTCAGTTTCCTCGATAGCCTGATGTTCACTCACATTTAAGGACAGTGAACAGGTAGGTCCTTTGTAGGCGCCTTGTGAGGCCCTGACCCTGCCGGTTCTCTGCCGAAACAGCCGAGGAGACTGAGGCTGGAGAGGGCCACGGTTCTCTGTCATCACACGCAGGTGGGACCTCAGGGCCCTGTATCAGGGGGCACCGCCCTCTGTGACGGCCGGGTGCTGGCAGTGCTGGGAGCCCCAAGAGTCCCCAGCCTGGAGAAGCTAAGCCAGCCAAACCCAAGCCAGGGCTGCGCGGCCCGCTGGCTCGGGAACTGGATGTGGCCACGCCGGATTCGGAGCGCAGGAACCAGGGTGGGCGTGGTAGCAGGAACTGGACCAGGGCGCTGGGTGGGCCTTGAATGCCGCGCTCAGCAGGGGTCTGGAGGTGGGTGGGTGAGGGAGGGAAGGGGGCGGTGTCGAGATTTACTAGGGCAAACGGCCCGACCACCCCCCAAAACAGCCAGCGCCGCCAACACCCCCCCCACCCCCCCCCGCAACGCCCCGCCCCGCCGCCCTCAGTCATAGCAACGCCCCGCCCACTCGCCCGCGGGCTCGCCCGAGGCTTTGCTTCCTTGTCGCCGGCCCCGCCCCCATGTCAGGCCCCGCCCCTGCTCTCCCCGGGCGAGGTTCCCGGCCGCCCGCGCTCGGGCGCGCGCTTCCTCCCGCCCCCCGCCCGCGGCCCCGCGCCCCCCGCCCGGCTCCCGGGACTCCGGGCCGATCCCGCCTTAGGGTCGCACCCCGCCCCGCCCGCTGCGCCCCCGCTTGTCCCGGGCCTGGGGCTGCGGCGGCGGCGGCACAAAGAGAAGCAGCATGTCCGACCCCAGCTACTGGACGGCGGTGGCAGCCCCCGGGCACCGCAGCCGCCTGGCCAAGGGCGCGCTGCTGCAACGCTCCAAGAGGTAGGGGACCCGGGCGTCCCCAGGGCCATCGCGGGGGCCGGGAGCGGGGGCAGCGGGGTCCCCAGGGTCCCGGAAGCCGTCTGCGCCCCTGATCCCCAGAGAGGATGTCTGCCGACCTCCGGGATTACAGCCTGGTGGGACCCAGCCGGAATTCGAACCCCGATCTCAGGGTGCGAGGAGCTTGGAAAAACTAAGGCGCTCTGTCCCGGGGCGCTCCACAGAAACGCAGGCTCGTGAGCAAACATTTGCTGCAGGAGGCTGCGTGTGGATGGAGAGTGAGGCCCTAGATAGCTGGGCTTCACCCTGGCCCGGCCTGGCCTCCTGGAGTCTGGGTTCCTCTTTGGAAAGCTGAGAGGCTAAAGCGGAGCTGTGGACTCTACCAAACCGGCTTCAAACTACAGGCCAGCTGTGGAGGGTTGTGTGGCCTCAGGTAGCTGCTTAACCTCTCTGTGCTTGGTTTGTCAGCCAGGCCAAGTCTGGGCAGTGGGATCACTAAATGCTAAATCCAGGCTTAGACTCTGCTCCCAGAGCGGGGGAGCAACTGGGGGCACGGCACAAGAAGCGGCCGTGGACCCTGCTTCCTGCCTTATTCTGACTCTTCCTGGGTCCCAGCTGCTGGAGGAGGTCATCAGATGTCGGCTCCTCCAGGCTGGGCCTCCCTTTGGCAAGGAGGGCTGCATAGGCAGTTGGCTCTCGATAGGTGCTCGGGAAGGGGCAGGTGAAGCCCGGCTGCCCTTGGAGCCCCCTGCCGGGCTGTGCATTCAAGGCCTGCAGTGCAGTTCAGCTAGGGGCTGAGGACCCAGGTGCCGCCCGGCCAAGAGGATGTGGTGGCAGGCGGGTGTGCGCACATGTGCCTGGTGGGGGGAGGATGGCAGGAAGTCTGGCGGAACCTGCAGTTTTCATTTTTGCTTCAGCACCTCAGGCTAGGGGACGACAATCCCTGTGGCCAGATGGAATGGTGCACGCCTGTCATCCCAGCACTCGGGAGGCTGAGGCAGGAGGAGAGCCACAAGTTCAAGGCAGCCTGGACTACACAGTGAGGTCAAGGCCAGCCTGGACTACATAGCCAGACCCTGTCAAAAACAACAGCAACCAAAAAAATAATTCCTGCAGCTGTTGGCATCCGTAGCCTCCGTTCCCACTTTGGAAATGGGTGTGACTGGTCTCCTGCCCCTTGAGGGCCTGTTGGGATCGTGGGTGTCACTGCTGATCCCCTTTCCTCTCCTCTGAGAGCACTGTCCTGTCTGGAGAGGGAGGACAATACGGGTCCCCACAAGGGACTCAAATCCCAGCAACTGCGTGGCATCGCATAGACTCTCCCACCATCCTTTGAGGCACATGCGCAGGGAAACTGAGGCTCCGAGCGACAGCCTATGTAGAGCTGCAGGCAGGCTGGGCCTCCCCTCCTTGCTGCCGCCTCCTGTGCTGTTTTCTCAGAGTGCTGTCCCCGCTCCCGGCCGCCTCTGTTGCCCCAGGCCCAGGGCCGTCTCCCTGGCTGCGCGTGCTCCCAGCTGCGTTGGCGGCCGCGTGGGTGAGGCCTGTCAGGCTGAGCCAGCCGTTGCCGAGCGACTGCTGGGGGGGCCGTGGAGCTCCGAGTCCCTCTGCCACAGCGGGGGCTGGCCCGGGCTGGGAGGGTGGCACAGCCCAGGCAACGTTCGAGAGGGGCCAGGGACCCCGGGGGCCAGGAGAGCCAAGGCTGGCGGCAAACAGATTGATTCGGGGTTGCTGGGCAGATGGGCATTTAGGGAGCCCTGAGGGACAGGGCAACACATCAGTGACCTCCTGGAAGGGCACAGGGACCATGCAGGGTCCTCTCTCAGCCTCTGCTTGTCTATTTTCCTTCCTTCTTTCTTTCAGACAGGGTCTTGCTATGTAACCCAAGCTGGCCTCAAACTCACTATGACCCTCCTGCCTCAGCCTCCCGAGTGCTGGGATGACAGGCGTGTGCCACCATGCCCAGCTGCTGTCTACTTCTGGCAGAGGTCACAGGGCTGTGAACCTAAAGCTGGCCCAGCGGGTCCTGGCCACACAGAGCAGCCACCGTGAGGCCAGAAGGGCTTCTGATATTGGCAGTGGCCGCAGTGTTCATAACAAGTGACGTCACGGCCGCTCCCTGCTGGGCCTGGATGCTGAGGCACTCAGGCGGGCCTTCGTGGGGAAAGGTGTCCCTGCTCGGGTGGTGGGAGGCCTTGGAGTCCGCAAACCCCGGCCACCCACCTCACCCGTGCCCCCCCCCAGCTGCCGCAGTGGGAACCGGAAAAGCTTGGTGGTAGGGACGCCATCTCCGACGCTCTCCCGGCCCCTGTCACCCCTGTCCATCCCAACCGGTGAGTACGGGAACAGCTGACAGGCACGCTGAGTCCTGTCTCGCCCTCCGCTGACTCAGTTTCCCCGCCTCCTCCTTAGCAGGCAGCAGCCCCTTGGACAGCCCTCGGAACTTCTCAGCTTCGTCCGCAATCAACTTCCCCTTTGCCCGGAGGTGAGGGTTGTGGTGCTGCGGGGAAGAGGGCTGGGGTCCCTTGGAACTGGCCTCTCATCTGCCTTTCCCTCCCTGCCCCACCTGGTCTCCTCTGCCTCCGGCAGCCACACCCCACACAGCGACCGACCGGTAACGGCCGAGGTCATTAACCCGCTAAGCAGTCACTGACTCCCTGTCCAGAGCTGACGTGACCTCGCTAACTCAGCTGCACTTACTGAGCTGCACTTACTGGGCCGGGCCCGGAGCTGGGAGTCCTCAGTCTGGCGGGGTGGCCAGTGTATCCCCCAACAGCTGCAGCTACAAGCTTGAGGGGCCACGCTGGCCGCGGGAGGAGGCCGGGCTTCCTGGAGGAGGTGTCTGGAGGCTGCCGGCCGCAGCCCCTGCCCGGGCCCTTCTCCCACCTGCTCCTGTCTCCACTGCAGGGCCGATGGCAGAAGATGGTCCCTTGCATCCCTCCCGTCTTCTGGCTATGGCACCAACACACCCAGCTCCACCGTCTCGGTACCCTTGGTCCCACCCAGGCGGGTGTGGGTGGCAAGAACACACCTTGGGGTGTTAACCAGGGGTCATAGGGTTGTCTGCTCATTGGACATCCTGGAGGCCGCCTCCTTGCCCTGTACTCGAGGGGTATCTATGAGGTGCCTTGACCCCAGTGGCCATCCAGTCTGGGGAACACACATGTCCCCAAACCACGAGGTCTGGATGGGGCCAGAGGCACATGTGGGACCACAGGCCAGGAGGGCTTGCTGAAGGAGGGGGCATCGGAGGTGGGGTTTTGAGGGCTGCTTAGGAGACAGGCAGGAGAACGGTATGGACGGTCCAGGGTCCTGGTTGTAGCCCTGACCCCCGCCTCCCACAGTCGAGCTCATCCTCCCGGGAGCGTCTCCACCAGCTTCCCTTCCAGCCGACGCCGGACGAGCTGCGCTTCCTGTCCAAGCATTTCCGAAGCTCGGAGAGCGTGGTGGACGAGGAGGGTGGCCGCTCGCCCCGCCTGCGGCCCCGCTCCCGCAGCCTCAGGTTGGCCACCGACCTCTGCCCTTTCCTGCCGCCCTGGGGACCGTGCTGTCCCCCTGCGCCTCCTCTGGCCGCCAGCCCCTCCCCCAGATTGGCTCTGGGTCCCGTCACACACGGCCACCTGTCCCCCTTGCAGCCCGGGCCGCGCCACCGGCAGCTTCGATAACGAGATTGTGATGATGAACCACGTGTACCGGGAGCGGTTCCCCAAGGTGGGCGCCGCTGCCCCGCCCCGGCCCCCGGCCCAGGCCAGGCCACACTCTGAGCCGAGTCCCCTGTCCTCCGCAGGCCACCGCCCAGATGGAGGGCCGGCTGCAGGAATTCCTGGCCGCCTCCGCGCCCGGCGCCCGGCTGGCCCTGGCCGACGGGGTCCTGGGCTTCATCCACCACCAGATTGTGGAGCTGGCCCGGGACTGCCTGGCCAAGTCCGCCGAGGCGCTGGTCACCTCGCGCTACTTCCTGGAGATGCAGGAGAAGCTGGAGCGGCTGCTGCAGGACGTGGGTGTGGGGCGTGGCGGGGGGGGGGCATGGGCAGGGCTGTAGGAAGGGCAAGATGGGCGGGGCTCAGGGTGAGGGAGGGTGGCCGGTGGGTGGGGCTAATCGTGGGTGTGGCCAGGCGGTGGTGCCGCATCGCCCCGCCCCTCCCCAGGCTCATGAGCGCTCCGACAGCGAGGAGGTGGGCTTCATCCTCCAGCTGGTCCGGAAGCTGCTGATCATCATCGCGAGGCCTGCTCGGCTCCTGGAGTGCCTGGTGAGTCCCAGACTAGGCCTGAGCCCTCAGCCTGGACAGGCTGCCCAGGAAACGGTGGCCGTGGAGCAGGCCCTTAGCGGGCAGGTGGGGGGGCATACGTGGCACCCACCCGTGTGCCCGGCTGTCCCGCACCCCCAGGAGTTCGACCCCGAGGAGTTCTACCACTTTCTGGAGGCGGCCGAGGGCCAGGCGCGTGAGGGCCAGGGCATCAAGACTGACCTGCCGCAGTACATCATCGGGCAGCTGGGCCTGGCCAAGGACCCGCTGGAGGGTGAGCAGAGGAGCTGGGGCGGCAAGGGGCGGAGGCCCTGGGGCCAGAGGAGAAGCAGTGAGGAGCAGGAGGAAGGGCTGGAGGGGATGCAGGCCTCCTCGGGGCCTGACAGTCGGTGCTGGCAGTACCAGGGCCCATTGGGCACCTGTGCCTTGTGGACCCTCTGGAAATTGCCGGGTGACAAGGGTAACGGAGGGATCTCGGCTCGCAGAGATTGTGCCTCTGAACGACATCGACAGAGGACAGCCCCCTGCACCAGAGTCACCAGAGGTGAGTTGCCAAGGCCGGGACTCCTTCTGTCTTGCGCTTTGCCTCGTAAACCAGGCAGCCACAGGAGGGGCTGGGACACCGGTGACTTTGGGGAAAAGTAGCAGTAATGGGGCTGCCTTGGTGCGGAGGTCCAGCAGAGCTAGGCCAGGGAGGGCGTGGAAAGGGTGGGTTTTGAAGGGTGTGTAGTAGATTGTGAGGAGGAAGGCACAGCTTGAGAGAAAAACGTGCAGAGACCTGGAGACTGATCTGAGGAGTGTGGGCAGGGAGGAAGTAGTGAGGTCACCAGGACAGGCAGTGTGGACTTGGGGACAGGAGGCGGTGTCTGGCCAGTTCTGCAGTGGGCAAGACCCTGGCCCTTCCTGTCCCCAGAACCGTGCCCTGGGCGGCCCGTCTCGGAGAAAGCCATGTGAGAGCGACTTTGAGACCATCAAGCTCATCAGCAACGGGGCCTATGGGTGAGTTCTCAAGTCCCTCAGGTGTGGCTGAGGCCCAGGAGCCCCCACATCAGCTTGTACCTTGTCAGGGAGACTCACACCATCCCCCTTGGAGGTGCACACAGGGAAACAGGGCTGCAAAAGGCGGCAGAGACTCAGCACAGCCAAGTGCTTGCCCCAATGGGCTCTGGACACAGGTGCAGGAAGTCACCATGGAGAGGAGATGAGGGAACCCCAGTGGGGAGGAGCACTGAAGAAAGGGCTTAAGCATGTGTGTAGGAGTCTGCATCACAGTTGGCCAAGCAGCAGCGGCCCGGGGACTTTATATCTTCGGGGTGTAGCTTATCTATGGTGAGAAGTGCGTGTGAATATTTGAGCTGCTTTCCAGTAGGCTGTGAGCAAAGAGTCTCAGCCCAGTGTGAAAAAATAAATGAATGGGGCTGCACTCAGTGGTGCACATCCGTCATCCCAGCTGCTTGGGAGGCTGAGGCAGGAGGGTCACCAGCCGAGCCTAGAGGGCAACTTGGTGAACCAGCAAACCAAAAGCAAACAACAGCCCAGCGTGCCAGGCTGAGTTCCCGTTGTTTGGTCTGAGGCCTCAGCAACCCCCCTCCCCAGGGCCGTGTACCTGGTGCGGCACCGAGACACGCGGCAGCGCTTCGCCATCAAGAAGATCAACAAGCAAAACCTGATGCTGCGGAACCAGATCCAGCAGGTGTTTGTGGAGCGCGACATCCTCACCTTCGCGGAGAACCCCTTCGTGGTCAGCATGTTCTGCTCCTTCGAGACGCGGCGCCACCTGTGCATGGTCATGGAGTACGTGGAAGGTACTTGACTGCCGGGTCCCAGGCGCAGGAGGGGCTGGCTGTGTGCGGAAGGGACTGTGTCCTCGCAGCCGCTGCCCCGCACGGAGAAGCAGCAGGCAGGCCCTGCCCGCGCCCATCCGGGTCGGTCTAGGGACACTGCCCGAGGTGGACACCAGCCCAGGGCCACCGTCCACCCTCCGCAGGCGGTGACTGTGCCACACTACTGAAGAACATGGGCCCCCTGCCGGTGGACATGGCGCGCATGTACTTCGCGGAGACCGTGCTGGCGCTCGAGTACCTGCACAACTATGGCATCGTGCACCGTGACCTCAAGCCTGACAAGTGAGGGCGGGCTGGGGGCGGGGGAAGGGGCGGGTCTGGTGTGGCCCGGGAGACCTGGATGGCATGGGATGGGGCGGGTGCAGGGGTGGAGCCTGAGGTGGGCGTGGTTTAGTAGGGCGGGGCCCAGAGGGACTGGGTGTGTTGTGGAGAGGCGGGGCTTAGAGCTGCCTGAGGGCGGGGCCTGTGTTTGGGCTGGCATTGCTTTGGAGCCTCTCCTGCCTGAACTGCGCTGGCATCCTGGGTCCCTCCAGCAGGGAGGCAGAGAATGTACCTATTCCGGAGTCTGAGGCAGGAGGATCCCCAGTTCAAGGCCAGCCTGGGGAATTTAGCAAGCTCCTGTGTCAAAATGGTTGTAAAGGTCTGGGGGCATAGCTGAGTGGCAGAGCCCACGATTAGCACAGGCCAGACTGGCTCCGTCCCCAGTACAGTAAAATAAACACTAACAGTTTGTTAGTGTTACGGGGACTGGTCCCAGGGCCCGCCGATGCTCCAATGTGCAGCTCCTCCAGTGCCTCCTACAAATTGGTGCAGTGTTCGCATAGATCCCCAGGCCAGCTCCATACTTGGGGTCCTCCTGCCTCAGCCTCCTGAGTCTCTGGGAGAGCAGGCATGCGGCCCCATCAGCTCTTCTGACGCTTTCCCGTCACTGTGCGGATCCCAGCAGCTTTGGGCAGCCGGGCCCGGCCTGGTGCAGCCTGCTCGGGGCCCTGGGGGAGGCAGGCACCTCGCCCACCCCGAGTGTCCCGTCTGCCCGCTGCCCACAGCCTGCTCATCACCTCACTGGGCCACATCAAGCTGACCGACTTCGGGCTGTCCAAGATCGGGCTCATGAGCATGGCCACCAACCTGTATGAGGGCCACATCGAGAAGGACGCACGCGAGTTCGTGGACAAGCAGGTGGGTGGGCAGGTAGGGTGGCCTAGGTGTGAGGGCCAACCCCCAGGTGCTGGGGCATGGGGACGGTGGAGAAAGTAGCCAGCTTTGGTGGCACACCTTCATCCTAGCAGCCGGGAGGCTGAGGCAGGAGAGTCACAAGTTTAAGCTCAGTCTGGGCATCTTAACAACTTAGCAAGACCCTGTCTCAAAAAAGCCAAAGAACAGAGAGATGGAGAGCCAATCACCTGCTTCCCGCGGCTGTGCCCACCCCCGTTTCCAGCCCAGCCCTCTGCTTTTCCATCTGTTCTTGAGTTCCCCCAGCTGGAGGCTGCCTCCGTTTCCCGCTCTGCCCTGCCAGGTGTGTGGGACCCCCGAATACATCGCTCCCGAGGTCATCTTCCGCCAGGGCTATGGGAAGCCGGTAGACTGGTGGGCCATGGGCGTCATCCTCTACGAGTTCCTGGTGGGCTGCGTGCCGTTCTTCGGGGACACGCCGGAGGAGCTGTTCGGGCAGGTGCTCAGCGGTGCGTGCCCCGAGAGGCCGTGGGTTCAAGTCCCAGCCCTGCCAGTGTCAGCCACAGTCACCTGCACTGTGCACCGGGGACATGTCCGGGGCTGAGACGGACAGATGGGCACCCGCCCTTACTCCTGCCCTCCTTTCAGATGAGATCATGTGGCCGGAAGGGGAAGAGGCGCTTCCCACTGATGCCCAAGACCTCATCACCAGGCTGCTGCGGCAGAGTCCGATGGACCGTCTGGGCACTGGTATGTAGGCGCCCTCACGGCCCGGGCCAAGGGGGTACAGAGGGGCAGGACTAGAGGTTAATTTTTGGAAAAGCTCCTCTTTGGCAGGTGCACAGGGTGGGGGTGAGGGCGTGGAGGTGGGGTTTTGAAGGATGTGTGGGAGTTTGACAAGAGCTAGAACAAGACCTTGAAGGAACACAAGGTAGTTGGGCCGGGGTTCCCTGGGGACACCAGAGTTGAGTCCTGAGGCTTCAAAGGGCCAGCTCAGAGGAGGCAACAGTCACTTCCTGCTCTAGGGCCAAAGAGGAAGCGCTGTAGGTGCGCAGGACCTGAGTCCCTCAGAGGCAAGGGCAAGGCTGAGAGCGAGGCTTGGGGGCTTGCAGGGTGCACCGGGGACCTGCAGGGCTCAGCCGGCTGCGTCTGCAGGTGGCACCCACGAGGTCAAGCAGCATCTCTTCTTCCTGGGCCTGGACTGGGCAGGGCTCCTGCGACACAAAGCCGAGTTCGTGCCGCAGCTGGAGGCCGAGGATGACACCAGCTACTTCGACAGTACGTGGGGGCACCGTGCCCCACAGCCCCAGGCTGGGCTTCTGCCAGGGCTCCCGAGACCCACGCCCGGACCCTGTCTTGTGGAGGCCGGGGCGCAGCTCATGTTGCGGAACCCCTTGGGGGTCAGATGCGTCTCCTCTCCAGCCACATCCAAAGTTCCCAGGGGCCCCACCCACTGCAGCCGCATGCCAGGGCCTCCCAACCATCTGCTTCCTGTTCTGTAACATGGACAGCGCACGGCGCATCCGAGATACACAGTCCCCCTCGAACTGGGTGGCCTGTTCAAGGGCCAGGAAGCCTGGCATGGTGGCCCAGGCCTGTGATCCCAGCACTGGGGAAGCTGAGGCAGGAGAATCTCAGTGGGTTCAAGGCCATCCTGAACTGCATAGTGAGACCCTGTCTCAAGAAACAACAAAATAAAACAAAAACTCAAGGGCGAGGAATCCAAAGTCCACCCATAGAACTCTCCGGGGCTCTCCAGTGGTAGGGACACAGCTCGGAGTTATTCTTAGACACCGCTTGGACGCCCAAGCCTCTCGTGGTCCCTAAACATGCCAGGCGTGCTTCTGCCTCAGGGCCTTTGCACAGGGCTACTCCGCCCGCCCGGGACACCTTCCCTGTGTCACCCCACAGCCCGGGGCCACCCGGGCGTCACCCGGGCTCAGGTGCCTCCCCACCCCACAGCGCGCTCGGAACGCTACCGCCACCTGGGCTCCGAGGAGGACGAGACCAACGATGAGGAGTCCTCCACCGAGATTCCGAAGTTCTCCTCCTGCTCCCACCGCTTCAGCAAGGTGTGTGGGCCGGGAGCCACCTGCCTGTCTGGGACGGACCCCGTTAGCCATGTCCTGGGCTTTTCCTCTCTTTGGAGACAGGGTCTTGCCAGGTAGTCCGGGCTGCCTTTGCTCTCACTGTGTAGCCCAGGTTGGCCTCAAATTCGAGGCGATCCTCCTGCCTCAGCCTCCTGAGTACTGGGATGACGGGCACTGGGACAATAGGCCAGCCGCGGCCACACCCGGCCTGTTATCTTGTTACCGCCCTCCAGGTCTACAGCAGCTCTGAGTTCCTGGCTGTACAGCCAGCCCCCACCTTCACCGAAAGGAGCTTCAGTGTGGACCGAGAGGAGGGGTGGGAACGCGGCGGTGAGGGGGACAGTGGCCACCCGCTGAGCACTGAGGTCCGGTAGGTACCCAGGGGTTGAAGGCTCTTCAAGCTTCCAAGTCTCTGAGGAGGTAGAGCCCCAAAATCGGATGTTGAAGGAGCTTCCCAGTAGTCTGGTAGAAAAGGGTCAGACTGCCCAGACTCAGGCCCCCAACGACCTCACTGCCTTTGGCTTTGCATTCCTCACCGCACCAAATATAAAGCAGCTGTGCACTATCGAGCTGTTTGGCTAATAAACTTCTATTCATCCTTCAAAACCCACAACCATCAATGTGCCCTAGAGGATGTTAGTTGGAAGGTGGGTGTTAAAGGTTGAACAGGAGCTCTCCAGAACTCTGCCTGTGTTTGCCCCCTGGTGTCTGAGCATGTGACACAGGCTCTTCCTCCTCCCTGCAGGCTGCGGTCCTGGACATCCTCCGGGTCCTCCTGTCACTCAGCATCGCCCCAGCCTGCGCGGGGCCCCAGCCCATCACTCCTGAGCAACATCAGCCTGGACATGATGCCCAAGTTTGCCTTCTCATCAGAAGATGAGGGAGCAGGCCCAGCCCCTGTGGACCCCAAAAAGCCTGTCTTCATTCTGGGGGAGCCTGATCCACCACCGCCAACCACCCCAGTAACACCCAAACCCTCAAGCCTTTCTGGTAGGTGGGGCCTCAGAGGGGAAGAGTAGTGTTACAGAAAGTTTCCCAGAGGAAGGATTATTTGAGAAGGGTTTTTAGGAATGAGTAGGAGTTCTCCAGAGCTAACAAAGACTTTAAAATGGTCCCAGAGAGGCCCTAAGCTCCTGGGGGGAATCAGTCAAGGGATAACACCTCCAAGATAGGGCTGGAGCCAGGGAAGCCCCGATAAGGGAACCCAGGGGTCCAATGGGGGCATGGGAGGTGGCTTTCCCTTGAGAACAGCTCGGGAAGGGTGTGCGGGGAGAGGGCGCTGCATGAATGAAGGCCAGGAGTCCAGGTGTGTGTGGAGCCCAGGGAGGTGACTGAGGACAGCGGGGACCAGAGTGGAGAGAGGCCCCCAGCTGAGCCTGCTGCCCACAGCCGACACAGCAGCCCTCAGCCCCTCGAGGCTTCGGAGCAACAGCACGGGTGCCCGGCACTCCACGCCCCGAACCCTGGACGCTGGCCGGGGCCGCCGCCTGGGGCCAAGCCGAGACCTTGCCTGCGACAAGACGAAGGCCAGCCCCGGCGGGGGCGGGGGCGGCGGCGGAGGGCGTGTGCCCAAGTCAGCGTCTGTCTCGGCTCTGTCTCTCGTCATCACCGCAGGTGACACACCCTGCAGTGCCCAGAGCAGGGACCCGAGAGCGAGATCGAGGCGGTGTCCCCAGGCGGGCACAGCACGTGCAAGGGCCCTGGGCTCCAGAGCGGCGGTCCTGGAGGGAGGGAGGGAGGGAGGGAAGGTGGCCGCGAGGACCCCACTGACGACCTCGCCCTGCTCGCCCGCAGACGACGGCAGCGGCGGCCCCCTTATGAGCCCCCTGTCCCCGCGTTCGCTGTCCTCGAACCCGTCCTCCCGAGACTCCTCACCGAGCCGGGACCCGTCGCCCATGTGCAGCAGCCTGCGGCCCCCCGTGGTCATCCACAGCTCAGGCAAGAAGTATGGCTTCAGCCTGCGTGCCATTCGCGTCTACATGGGCGACAGCAACGTCTACACAGTGCACCACGTCGTCTGGGTGCGTGGGGGCGCGGGCTGCATCCGGGGGCCTGCCCTGGGGGAGGTGGCGACCTGGGACCCAGGCTCCTCTCTGACCTTGTGCTTTGGGGCTCTCCCCTCTCCACTGCTCGCCCTCGAAACTGCCCTCATCTTCTGGTAAACTGAGGCACGGCTTGTTGGGGGCCCACAGTGGACCCAGCCAGGTGGGAGCTCTGGATTCAGGGCTCAGGCTCCTGACCCACTGTGTCCCCCAGAGCGTGGAGGAGGGGAGCCCCGCCCAGGAGGCCGGGCTGCGTGCTGGGGACCTCATCACACACATCAACGGCGAGTCCGTGCTGGGACTGGTGCACAGGGACGTCGTGGAGCTGCTGCTGAAGGTCGGCCGGGGCAGGCGTGGGGCGGGACCAATCCGACCCCGCCCAGTCCGACCACACCTCCAGCTCAGCCTCTCCCAGTCCTGGTCACGCCCCCGTCCAAAGCCACGCCCCCAAGGCATTGCAGACGCTTTGAGGTTGCCAGATGGAAACCTTGTTTACTTCCTCCATGCCCAGGACCCCAGGGCTGAGGCCCAGGGGTGGGGAGGGCTCAGGGCGCCCTTGGTCCCGTGGCGGGTGCTGGTGGCCCACGAGTTCACAGCTGTGTCTAAGGTGGTCCGTAGTCTTTGGCTCCACAGGATGAGGACCTCCAGCACGGACAGAGCCAGGGGGCAGATAGGTGGGTGGAGAGAGCTGGGGTGCAGCTGTGAGCAGGTGCCAGGCCCTGGTTCCACCCCCTGCACCCCCCAACCAAAAAAAGCCAGGCGTGGTAGTGAACGCCTGTCATCCCGGCACTCTGGGAGGCTGAGGCAGGAGGATCACCAAAGGTTGGAGGCCAGCCTGGGCTTCGTAGTGAGTTCAAAGCCAGCCTGAGTTGCATAGCGAGAAATAAACAATAAAAGGGGGGCGCAGCTCAGTGGGAAGTCCCCGGGCTCCGTCCCGCCCCCCCTCCGTGCCGCAAAGGGCTCTGAGGCAGGCAGCATGTGGGACACCACGCCCCCTTGCAGAGCGGGAATAAGATCTCGCTGAGGACCACGGCGCTGGAGAACACGTCCATCAGGGTGGGCCCAGCGCGCAAGGATGCGGCCAAGGGGCGCATGGCGCGGCGCAGTAAGCGCAGCCGGCGGCGGGAGACGCAGGACCGGTGAGCGCCAGCGCAGGCATCCGGGCGGCCGGCGTCGCAGCCGGCCGGGTCGCGCTCACCGTGTCCCGGTCTCCCCGCGTCCACAGGCGGAAGTCTCTGTTCAAGAAGATCTCGAAGCAGTCGTCTGTCCTGCACACCAGCCGCAGCTTCTCCTCTGGCCTCCACCACTCGCTGTCCTCCAGCGAGAGCCTGCCGGGGTCCCCCACCCACAGCCTGTCGCCCAGCCCCACCACACCCTGCCGCAGCCCGGCGCCCGACGGCAGCACCAACACAGGTGCCTGGATCGGGAGGGTGGGATGGCGAGGATGGGGGTCAGGGAGGAGGGGTGGTAGAGGTGGGGCTTTGACGGATGAGTAGGAGTTCGGCACATCCAGGCCAAGGGAACGCTCGCTGTGGGTGGGTGGCAGCAGGGAAAAATGTGGGTTTTTGGAAGTTTGGTCAGTCCCGGGGCCCCGCCTCCCATCTGGGGGCACTGAGGCCAGCAGTCCTGACCTGCTCCTGCCACCCACAGACACCACGTCCCCGCCCAGCGTGTCCCCGAGCTCCAGCAGCCCCGCGTCCCCGGCCACCGCTAGCCACGCCCGCCCCAGCTCCCTGCACGGCCTGGCCGCCAAGCTGGGGCCGCCGCGGCACAAGGGTGGGCGCCGCAAGTCCACCAGCAGCATCCCGCCCTCGCCGCTGGCCTGCCCACCCTTGCCCGCGCCGCTGCCCCGCTCGCCTGCGCCCGGGTCCCCGCGCCTGCGCCGGGGGCAGTCGGCCGACAAGCCGGGCACAGGCGAGCGGCCGGACCCCGAGCTGGTGGTCATGCGGCGGCTGCACCTGTCCGAGCGCCGCGACTCCTTCAAGAAGCAGGAGGCCGTGCAGGAGGTGAGCTTCGACGACGAGCCGCCACCCGCGCCCGCGCCCGTGCCGCGCATCGCCGTGCAGGGTGCCGAGCCGGCGCGCGCGGCCGGGGACTGAGCCGCGCGCACTGAGGGGTCCGGGCCGGGACGCGCGCGGCCGCCTTGTACATAGCGAACCCGCCACTAATTTATTACTTTTTCTAAGCAATAGCCGGGCTGAGCCACCCGCGGGTGGCCACCAGGGCCCCGGCCAAGCTGGGAAGCAAGCACTTTGGACAGCTCGTCTTCGTGCGCGGGCTCTAGTCTCCCCGTCCCTCTGAAGTTTTTGTGTGCATTAGTGTTCAATCCTGACCCAAGACCGAGCTCACGCGTCCGGGCCTAGTTTGGCTATGACTTGCAGGGTCTGCAAACGATGTCCCTCCCTTCCAAAACCATAAGGGACTGGAGTCTGAAGACCACATCCCACTGTTCTGGCTGCTGTCCTTGCTACAGTGTGACTCCAGTCTTTCAGGCTTTAGCCTGCGGAAAGGCCATGGGACCTGGGGCTTTGATGGATAAGTAGGAGTTCACCAGTTTAGGTAGTGAGTCAGGGATGCCCTGGGAGGTGCCAGTCTGACCTCAGAGGGCACTGCTGAGGTGGGAGGAAGGTGCCCCGCCCACCATGTGTCCAGGGTGGTCCCCTCATGTGTCCGGCCTCCCTAGGATGAGCGTACAGTGGGGCAGCCCAGCTTCTCAGGCAGGGAGGCCCAGGTTTGAGTTTCAGCTTCACTGTGTGGCTCTGGGAAAGTGGCTTTCCCGCTCTGTGCCTCAGTTTCCTTTTGTTTACAAAACTAATCCCAACGACTATGTATCAAGAGCCTGCTGTGTGTGCCAAGCGCTTCGCTCGTGGCTCCTCCCTCAGCCAGCAGGGAGAAGGCCAAAGGTGGCGACCTTGTCCCCTCTGCGGCCCAAGCAGCTGAGGCTCGACCAGGGGCAGGCTCTGGTCCCTGGACCGAGCAGCAAAAGGCTGGTGGAAGGGACCCTCGACCACGTGGCCCGCCCCACCCAATGGGGTGCTGTGTGGATCCTGCCCCCTCCTCTTCCCCATGATGCTCTGCCCACCTGGTGAGGGAGATTCCTAGGCGCTGCGTCCCTCCCACAGCCCCCGCCCAGCCCTGCCTGGTGTTGGAGGATAAACCAAGGCTGTGCATGACTTGCTCCTCCTTCCATCCTGGAGCTGGCAGTGAATAAAAGCCCACATTTACAAAGAGGAGATCGACTGTCTGGATTTGTGAGAAAGGGTTAAGGGAAGTGGGAGTGGGGTGAAAATAGCCTCGGGGCTCAAAGGCACTGGATGTGGGTTTTGAAGGCTGCATAGGAGTTCGCCGTTGCAATTTTCCCAACTTCTCCTCTGAGCCTGGAAGCTGCCCTTGCCCCATGAGTACCATCACAGTTTTATTCAAAGCAGGCGCGCCTGTCGTCCCAGTATCCAGGAGGCTGGCGCCCAGGCGTTAGAGACCAGGCTAGACAACACAGGGAGATGCTGTCTCAAAAAAGAAAAAGAAAATGATGAAAAACTTTGTAGCTAGTCACCAGTCTAAAACCCTGGGCTACGTTAATAAAACGAAGACATCTTTGTGTCCTTTCAGTCATGGATTGTGCTGGGGGGTTGCGCCGTGCAGCTTGCGACCCGAGCGTCCTGGGCCGCAGGTAGTGGCCGGCGCCGGACACCCTTGGCCACGCCCCCAGGCCCGAGTCTCCCTGGGTCCGGAAACGGTAGTGCTTGGGTACTGGTCCGCCAAGCTCTCGGGTCGGCAGCGCCCAATCACTCGGCTGTTTCCGGACTCTCGGGGTTGCCACGGAAACAAGACTCCCCCCCCCCCCGCCGGCTCAGCTGTTTTCTAAAACGCGCAGCTTTCTGTGGCAAGCGTCTTCCCCATTTCTCTTCCCTCCTGTTCCCTGAGCCTGAGGCCGCCTCAAACCCCCTCTCTGGAACCATCCATGGTTCGGCAATTTCTAGAACCCTCCGGAGCCTCTGGGTCTAAACGCCCAGGGCCTTTCTCGATCCTTTCAACAACGCTCTGCTCGGCGTTCTTGGAAACCAGCCGCTTCCGCCAGTCCCAGCGAAGTGCATCCGGCCATTTCCGGAATCATTCGGCCGTCTCCGAGTCCAACTTCGGATCGTTCGCCCGACCCAATTGCGATCGGCTCTTTCCGAAACTGCTCGGCTGTCTCGTGGCAGTCTCTAGCCGGCCAGTCCCGCGGGAGTACGTTCGGCTCTTTCCGAAAACATTCGGCTTCCCTATTCCCTCCCCCCAACCCCCACCCCCGCTTCCAGACTCTTATCTCGGCCTCCGTGCGCTCGCCCGGCCGAACGCATTCGGCTATTTCCGCCAGGGGGGCGGGCCGGGCCGTTCGGAATCGCGGCGGCGGCGACTGACGCGGGGATCCCGCGGCTTGCGGCGACGGCGGCCGCCGTGGACCCAGGGGGCGGGCTCAAGTCGGCGTGACGGCGGCCGCAGCCAGGTGAGTCGGGTCCGGCCGTGTGGCAGGCGGCGCCGGGGCGATCGTGGGCCCGGGGTGCGGGACCGGGGCCGCGGGAACGGGGGCCGAGGGCGGGCAGCTGGGCCGAGGGCGGGCGCCGGGCCGGGACACCGTGGGCCCCGCGCCGCGACCAGAAAGCCTCTGCGCGGGGCGGGCGCGGGGGGACCCGACATCGTGTGCAGCGTCCTTGGTTGCGGGGATCGGGCGCCCGCTTCCGGCCTCCCAGCGGGGCTCGGGGTCCACGCGGCCCGCCGCGCGCCTGTGCGTGAGCAGCAGGCCTTGCGCCCCCCGCAGCGCCCCGGCCCAGGACCCCAGCTCCCGGATCGGGGTGCACTGCTTTCCCGACGTGTGCAAACCTGTGCAGGCGGGGGCGGGCAGGGCCTCGGCGCTTTCCCAAGTGTCGCCACTCCCAGCCTCAGTTTCCCCACCTGTAGAATGTGCAGGACGAGCGACTGGGGACAGGCACATCCGGGCCCCCAGGAGTGGAGCTCCAGCCCCCAACTGGATCCTTCCGCAGGCGGTCCCTTTCCTGGGGCCCCAGCGGCAGCCTCCCTGCCCATCCCTGTCCCCAGGCCAGGTCACACCCTTCTCCCCGCTGAGCCAAGGGGGACACAGAACCTGCAGGGCCGGCGCTGGGAATGTGAGTGGCCTTCCCTCGCCGTCCCCGGCCCCCGGGACCTCACCCTGCCCCTGTGCCCTGTCTTGCCTTCCTGGAGTCACCTCAGGCTCTCCACACTTTTGCACCTCGTGTGGGCCCCAAGCTGGGGACCCAGCGTGCCCTGAGGACACCTCCAGTCCTGCCAGGCACAGTGTGCCTTTGGTTCCCTTTCTTGCTCCTTGGTTCCTTTTGCTGCTCCTCTGCACAGCTTGCCCCCAAAATATCCAGAATGCCCCCCATTTTACCCCACCCACTGAGTGTAATTGGTCATGTTGTTGCTACCTCCTGAGATCCCTCTGGGCTTTGGACCTGGATGGATCTGGGTTTGAGTCCTGGCTGCCTCCCGGCCCTTTGCATGCTCCCTGCTCTGAGCCTCAGTTTACCCATATCCATCAGGGCTGATGAAGAGCTAGTTTACCAGCCCCACAGTGTGTCCAGGACAGGATCTTGGCAGCCCCCTTCCCGAGAGCCCAGCGAAGGCTGATGTTGTACCCATTATACAGGTGGGGAAACTGAGGCCCAGAGAGTGGCAGGCACTGGCCCCGAGGCACCCAGCTCCTTGGGGTCTCTGACCAGGGATGCAGGCCCTCTCTGTGCTGGGCTTGAGAGGAGCCAGCCTGGCTCAGGCTGCCCTGTCCTTCCCCTCTAGGTTGGCGTCCCCAGCTGAGCATGGTGGCAGCCCTCACCCTCAGCTTCGTCGTGTGGCGAGGCTGGAAGAGCTGGCAGCCCAGGGTGCTGATGGCCCTGCGCCACTGTTGGATGGCAAACACGGTGTCCGAGTGAGCTGGCATCAACCACCAACAGCCTCCCACCAGCTGGCGAACGGTGGACAGGTGGCAGTCAGCGGTCACATAGCGGAGTCATGGCGGGAAGCCAGGCATGAGCGGCCCCCGGGGTCACCCGTGACTCCTCCTGCAGAGAGGTCTGGGCCCCCAGCCCCCAGCTGAGCCTCCTGTCCCCACCCTGGCCCATGGGGCCCCGGGGGCCCCGAGCCACTGCGTGACTGTGACCCAGCAGCCCTCACAGTGGCATGGCAGGCACCGAGGGCTTCCAGTACCGCGCGCTGTACCCGTTCCGGCGAGAGCGGCCTGAGGACCTGGAGCTGCTGCCTGGCGACATGCTGGTGGTGAGCCGTGCGGCCCTGCAGGCGCTCGGTGTGGCGGAGGGCGGCGAGCGCTGCCCGAACAGTGTGGGCTGGATGCCTGGCTTCAACGAGCGCACACGGCAGCGGGGCGACTTCCCGGGCACCTACGTGGAGTTCCTGGGGCCCGTGGCCCTGGCCCGGCCTGGCCCTCGCCCACGCGGCCCCCGCCCACTGCCCGCCAGGCCCCGAGATGAGCCCCAGGAGCCAGGTGAGCAGCTAGGTCCTCCTAGGCCTCGGGCCCTCCTCTTCCCTGTGGGGACCGGCTCAGTCGTCAGATGTCTGCAGGGGCACTGCTGTTGGGGTGGAGCTCGGCGTGGATGCCCGGTCTGGCCCTGGCCTCGTGGGCCTCAGAAGTGACAAGAATGCGATGACTAGTGACATGCGATGAGGGCTGGGGTCGCCCAGAGTGCTGGGCCACGAAGTAGCGACCTCCGGCAGGTGTGGGGCCCTGGCGAGCCCCGGAGGCCGGCAGGTGAGCCCCAGAGCCCAGTCCACAGCCAGGGCTCCTGTAGAACCCCCTTGGTGCCCTGATTTCACTCCAAACAAAGGGGCTGCAGAGCATGGAGAAGGGGAGGCCTGGGGTCGTCCTTGTGTCCCAGGGCTGTGCTGGGAGAGGAGAGGCGGGGTGCTGGCATCCCCTGAAATCTGCGTGCTGCCTAGGGGGTGGCTCCTGCCAGGAGACGAGGGCGTGCACTGGGCAGAATGGTTGCTGGAGAGGCCAGGCCCATGGTGACCCAGTGACAGGCCCAGAGATGCAGCCGGTGTCACAGCTAGGGCTACCAGGGGCTCTGGCCTGGGCCTTGCAGCATCTGGGCTCCCTGAGGCCTTAGTCCTGCTCGGCAAGCTAGAGGACCAGAAGCAGGAGCAGCAGGCGGCCCCACTGGGCTCCCGGCCAAAATTTGCCGCTGCCCCCGGTTACAGTGCCGCCCTCCCTGCCTGGCCGAGCCCCAGCGCCGCTCAGCCCCACCTGCAGCTTCCAGGCTGTGCCCTCAGCTGCAGGAGGCCTCGCTTGCCCGTCCAGATGGCAACAAGGTCCCGGCACAGCCTCGAGCCCTGCTGTTCCGGATGCTGGGCCCCTGAGAAGGCAGGAGCTGGGCAGAGCACTAGGGTCTTGAGCCCCCAGCTGGCCGAGTGCCCAGGCTCCCATCTGTGGGGCCTTCACCGCTCACGCGGGGCCTCCCTCTCTCCCGCTGCTGCAGCCAGATCCACAGCGACACCAGGGCCCTGCGGGCCGGGACAGCACCCACCTCCTCCTGCTCTGTGCTCCGAGCTCCTGCAGCTGCGGGCACCTGGCCCGTCACTCAGGGAGGTGCAGGCCCCAGCTTGTCCCCACCAGGTGCCAGGGCATCCCTGCTGGGGGCCAGGCCTGCCAGTCTGGGGATGGGGGGGCACACAAAGGCCTGGGGCGGCAGGGCCCAGCAGGATCCTGGTGCGTGCTCCAAGGGCTGGCAGCGTCTTGAAGGAGGAGAAGTCATTTTGAGAAAGAAAATTAGAAAATGAGGGAAAGATCCCTGAAGTAAGCTGTTCAGGCTCAGACAATGCTGAGTTTCCTTTCATTCCTTTTAAACCCTTTTTCTGTTTGCTTCAAGAACCTAGATGCAGGAACCAGGCATGGTGGTGCACTCCTATAAGCCCAGCACTCTGGGAGGCTGAGGCAGGAGGATTTCAAGTGTGAGCCCAGCCTGGGCAACTTAGCAAGACCCTGTCTCAAAAAACAGGGCTGAGGGCCGGGGATTTAGCCCAATGGTTCCACCACCTGCCTCGCAAGCAGAAGGTCCTGAGTTCGATCCCCCGTACCAAAAAACGCCCCCAAAACCCAGGGCTGGGCCTGTAGCTCAGTGCAGAGGCCCCCGGGGGCAGAATGCTAGCATGCTGGAAGCCCTGGGCTGCAATCCCAGCACCCCCAAATGGTGGGAGGACTAGGCCATCTGTCTTCCCAGTGTTTCCTGGAAGAAACTGCAGCCCAGAGAGGGCGGGTCCTATACCCAAGGCTGCACAGCGGCTCTGCCAAGGCCTGAAACCTGTTGGGTGAGTTTCAGTGCTGCCCTAAGGAATCCCCATGAATCAGGTGACCTCAAACAACAGAAATGCTGCGTGGCCTTTCTGAGCTCAGGGTCCGGGACCAGGGCCCGCTCCTTCCCAAGCAGGCTGGATGCCTGCTGCTTCCGCAGGCTCTTGGGGTCTCCCGGCGATTTCTCCAGTCTCCGCTGGTGGCCCGGTGGCCTCAGGAAGACACCGGTCACTGGGCTAGCACCGCCTGCGGAGCTGTGTGAAACTTCTGCCTCAATTCCACCTGCAGAGCCCCTGTTTCCAAATAAGGTCATAGTCACGGGTGCCAGCAGTCAGGATGGGGACCCAAGTGTTGGGGTGACCTCTGTGCAGTCCCCCAACACCTGGTCCTGGAAGTCGTGTGAATTCCTTGCATTTCACCCTGGAAATTGTCTCTCTCTCTCTCACTCAGGCCTCACGCTCCCAGATCTGCCTGAGCAGTTTGCCCCTCCTGACATGGCGCCCCCTATCCTGGCGAGGCTGGTGGAGGCCATAGAGCAGACAGGTAAGCCCAGCCTGGCTGTGACCCCGTGGGGCTGTACTTGTTCGGCGGCTCCCTGTCCCAGAGGAGGCTGTTTGAGTAGGGGACACTGGAGGGGGCTTCAGGCTGACGCGCCTGTCCATCCCCAGGGCTGGACACCGAGTCCCACTGCAGGCCGGAGCTACCCGCGCTGCGCACAGGTGAGGGGGCCTCTGGGTGGGGCGGCGGCCGGGGGCACCGCGCACAGCTGTCACATGTCCCCACCCCGCGCAGACTGGTCGCTGAGCGACCTGGACCAGTGGGACGCCGGCGCTCTGTCCGACGCCATCAAGGGCTTCCTGCTGGCCTTGCCTGCCCCGCTTGTGACTCCTGAGGCGGCGGCCGAGGCGCACCGGGCCCTGCGGGGTGAGCTGGGGACCCCGGTGGCTGCGGGGGGACCGCGTGGGCACCAGCCTGGCTCACCCGCCCACCTCGTCCGCAGGCGCCACGGGGCCCGTGGGCCCAGCACTGGAACCCCCGACGCTGCCGCTGCACCGCGCGCTCACGCTGCGCTTCCTGCTGCAGCACCTGGGCCGGGCGGCCCGCCGCGCCCCCGCCCCGGGTCCCGCCGTCCGTGCCCTGGCTGCGGCCTTCGGGCCACTGCTGCTGCTGCGTGCACCGTCGCCTCCGCAGCCGCCAGCGGGCGCCCCGCCAGAAGGGTACAGGGGCTGGGCCTGCGGGGAAGATGCGGGTGTGTGGGCGGGGCCTGTCGGTGGGCGGGGCCGGTTTGAGGTAGAAGCTGTGCTGCACGGGGGGACAGAGGGGCCCGGGGACCAGGCTGTAGGGTCCCGGGGCAGAGGTTGAAGGGGCTCAGCCAGGAGGGCGCAGGGGACGGGCCAGCCTTTGTTCCTGCACACCCTGTGCCCCGGGTGCTGCGTGGCCTCGTTTTTCCGCGTGCGTTTATGCGGCATCTGCTGCACGCACCTTCCGTGCTGGTCTCCGCGCCCCTTGCCTGCACCCACGCTCGCGCGGCAGCCCGGTCCCCATCGCCACCCTCTTCCCTCAGGACGGAGCCCAGCCAGGACTTCCCGGTGCTGCTGGCGGAGAAGCTGCTACAGGAACATCTGGAGGAGCAGGAGGCCGCGCCCCCAGGTGACTCACGTTGTCCTCGCCAGCCTTCAGGCCCTGAAGCCCCCTCCCCGGGCCCGCTGGGCACTCGGCCCAGCCGCGGTACACAGCTGGCGCCTGATACCATTTCCCTGTCCCCAGCCCTGCCGCCCAAGCCCTCCAAGCCAAAGCCGGCCGCCCCGGGCTTGGCCAACGGGGGCAGCCCGCCCTCCCTGCAGGACGCGGAGTGGTACTGGGGTGACATCTCCAGGTGGGGCCAGGGTGCAGGCGGGTGGGCGGCCGTGGGTCCCTGCTGCGGAGGCTGTGGCTCACCGCGCTGTCCCCGCAGGGAGGAGGTGAACGAGAAGCTCCGCGATACTCCCGACGGCACCTTCCTGGTCCGCGATGCATCCAGCAAGATCCAGGGGGAGTACACGCTCACCCTCAGGTGGGGCCTGCGGGGGGAGGGCGGGGCGGGGCAGGGGGCGGGGCCACCCACACCACGCTCCCTCCAGGAAGGGCGGCAACAACAAGCTGATCAAGGTCTTCCACCGGGACGGCCACTACGGCTTCTCGGAGCCGCTGACCTTCCGCTCGGTAGTGGACCTCATCACGCACTACCGCCATGAGTCGCTGGCCCAGTACAACGCCAAGCTGGACACGAGGCTGCTCTATCCCGTGTCGCGGCTGCAGCAGGACCAGGTGGTCAAGGAGGACAGCGTGGAGGCCGTGGGCGCCCAGCTGAAGGTCTACCACCAGCAGTACCAGGACAAGAGCCGCGAGTACGACCAGCTCTACGAGGAATACACGCGCACCTCCCAGGTAGGGGCCACTGGGAAACTGAGGCTCGGGCCCTCGTGACCCGGGCATGGGTGCCCTCTCTTCTGTTTTCTGCTTGTAGTACTGGGGGTGGAACCCAGGGCCTTCGCACTGAGCTACATCCCAGCGCTTTTTAATTTTAGGCTGGGCTCCAATTTCCAATCCGCCTGCCTGCCAAGTAGTTGGGATCACAGGCGTACACCACTGTGCTCAGCCTGGACAGGGCTTTAAAAAGTAAGATGCCAGCTGGAGATTTAGCTCAGTGGTTTCGCCGCCTGCTGTGCAAGCGCAAGGACCCAAGTTCGATCCCCGGTACCAAAAAAACCAAAAAAACAAACTATAGCTAAGAAGCTGAAGCAGGAGACCACCTTTAGTTCAAGGCCAGCCTGGGTTGCATAGTGAGACCCTGTCTCAAAAAAAAAAGAAGCTGGGATATCTTTCGGAAAGAATTAAAAGCATCCTACCATAGCGATCTACGCACACCCATGTTTATGCCGACACAGTCTGTAATAGCTAAATCTTAGAAACAGCCCCAATGTCCATCAGCTGATGAGTGGATAAACACAATGTGGTTCTTTTACACAATGGAGAACTACTGTGCCATAAAGAAGGATGAGCTGCAGACATTTCTAGCTAAATGGATGCACCTTGAGACCATACTCTTAAGTGAAATACATCAGACTCACATGATGAAATACTGCATTGTTTCCCTGCTGGGAGAAACTGAACATGGAAATAAGGACTGAAATGTATAACGGAGATTGGGAAATGGGAAGAAAATGTTCAAATGGGAAGGGGAACAAGGGAGGAGGGAGGGAGAAAGGAGGGAAGGAAAGGACAAGAAAAAAAGTGGAAATGGATGGAAAAAATGGAAACAAAGCTTTTGTACATAGGAAGGGCAGGGGAGTAGAGGGGGAAATGAGAAAAAATAAACTATTTTTTAAAAGCTGGGTACAGAGGCACACTCATATAATCACAGAATCACAGCCATTCAGGAGGCTCGAAGTTTGAGCCCAGCCTGGGCCATTTAGTGACATAGAAAGGCCCTGTCTCAGAATAAAAAATCGGGCTAGGGATGTAGCTCAGTGCAAAGGCCCTAGGTTGGGTTTCCAGTCCTGCAAAAATAAAAAACAAAAGGAACATTGTGACCTCAGAAGTGACTTTGGTTCCCCGAGCCTCCATTTCCCCAAAGACAACTCCATGGGTTCTGGGGACACTCCATGGGACAATGCATGGGAGTATTGGGTGCAGTGTCTGCCCTGAGAAACAGCCCCATGAGTCTAGCGAGGACTCTCCATCATTCTCTTGTCACAGAGGGTGTAAAGGGAAGGAAGGGGGCTGGGGTGGGGTTCTGAAGGCTGTGTAGGAGCTCTTGCCCTGCAGCAGGAGGTAGAGGAGTAATACTGCTGGGGGAGGGGCGGTGGGGATGGGTCGCCTCACTTCTTCCCCCAGGAGCTGCAGATGAAGCGCACGGCAATCGAGGCCTTCAACGAGACCATCAAGATCTTCGAAGAGCAGGGCCAGACTCAGGAGAGGTGCAGCAAAGAATATCTGGAGCGATTCCGGCGTGAGGGCAATGAGAAGGAGATGCAGAGGTGAGTGCACCCTCGGGCAGGAAGGAGGGGGGCGGCTGGCGCTCTCCTTGGAGGGAGAAGGCCAGCAGAAATGGGCTTTGAAGGCTGAAGAGGAGTTCGCCAGAGAGACATGGGTAGCAGTGTGCACCTAGGCATCTTTCTGAGCTGCCCCTCCCCCAGGATCCTGCTCAACTCTGAGCGGCTGAAGTCCCGCATCGCCGAGATTCACGAGAGCCGCACGAAGCTGGAGCAGGACTTGCGGGCCCAGGCCTCGGACAACCGCGAGATCGACAAGCGCATGAACAGCCTCAAGCCTGACCTCCTGCAGCTGCGCAAGATCCGCGACCAGTACCTCGTGTGAGTGCCGCGCTTGCCCACCAGGGGTCGCCCGTGGCCTGTGCAGCTCCGCCCCCGCTGGCAGTCAGGCCCCAGCCCGGCCAGCCCTGCCGCCTGGGAGGCCGAGGCAGGTGGATGGACCCCTGGAGAGTGGCCTGGACAGCTTAGTGAGACACTGTCTCAAAGTAAACAGTGCTGGGGTGCCGCTCGGAGAGGTGAGGCCTCGCTCTGCTGCGTTCCCAGCGAATTCGCGTCCTGCCTCTGCCTCCCTAGCTGGGCCTGCCAGGGGGACAGAGGCCGGGAGTGGGTCATGCTGTGGCCTCCGGAACCTGTGCTCCCTGCCCTGCCTCCGTCTCCGTTTCTGCACCAGCTGAGCCTAAAGCTCACCACGCCTCTTCCTCCAGGTGGCTCACTCAGAAAGGTGCCCGGCAGAAGAAGATCAACGAGTGGCTGGGGATCAGAAACGAGACCGAGGAGTGAGTGGCCCCCTAGCAGGGTGCAGGGAGCGCTTCTCAGAAGGGGGCCATTCAGGCGGGTTTTAAAGGATGAATAGGAGTTCTCCAGGTAGTGTGGCTGGCTGATGAGTGAGCAGGACCCCTCTCCACTGCCCCGCAGCCAGTACGCGCTGATGGAGGATGAGGAAGATCTCCCCCACCACGAGGAACGCACGTGGTATGTGGGCAAGATCAACCGCACGCAGGCCGAGGGCATGCTGAGCGGCAAGAGGGATGGCACGTTCCTCATCCGGGAGAGCAGCCAGCGCGGCTGCTATGCCTGCTCTGTGGTGTGAGTGCGCGTGCCCGGCGCCGACTGTGTGCGCGGCCGCCCTGCCAGGGTGTGGGGCTGGGGCCTGGAGGAGGGCCCCACTGAACCCGGTCGTGTCCCTCGCGCCCGCAGGGTGGACGGCGACACCAAGCACTGCGTCATCTACCGCACGGCCACCGGCTTCGGCTTCGCGGAGCCCTACAACCTGTACGGGTCGCTGAAGGAGCTGGTGCTGCACTACCAGCACGCGTCCCTGGTGCAGCACAACGACGCCCTCACCGTCACCCTGGCGCACCCCGTGCGCGCCCCAGGGCCCGGCCCGCCGCCCCCCGGCCGCTGAGCCCGCCTCCAGGCCCCTGCCCCAGCCGGGCCCCGCGCACCTCGCCCACCCCACTCTGAAGCCATAGATCTTGGTTAGGCGAGAAGGAGCCGCAGCCGCGACTTGGGCAGGGCGGGCAGGTCCCGCCCCGTCCCCGTCCCCCCACCCGCGGACCCCAACTTCTCCGGACTGAAACCCGGGGACAGATCTGCCACCAGGAAACCAGAACCCAAAATAAGCTCGGGCACCACCGCCAGGGACACTGCCGGGCAGCCACCCGGCTGGACACATCCCCACCCCACCGATCATGTTTCGATTCCCTGACTCACCTCCTCCTCTCTGGGGACCGGGAGCCCTGGTCCTCTAGCACTGCCCCGAGCCCAGGCCGCCGTCCGGCCAGGCTTTGTACGGTACGTTGTTCTCGCTGCGACATAAAACTGACCAAGGTGGCTGCGTGTCTCGGGGACCCTGGGGCGGATGGGCTCAGCGCTGGGCCTGTAGGTTTAGCTCCAGGCCACCTTGGGGTGACGGCCCCCACCTCCCCGACAGCTATGAGACCAGACCTGGCCAAGCTGAGGTCACAGCCAAACGACCCCCACGACCCATGCCCTGGCTGGAGGACCCCAGACCCTCTAACCTCCCATGCTGCCCTCCCAGCCTGTGCTCTGGGGTCTGAGGTTGAACCCCAGGCCTCCACACTGAGCTATGTCCCTGCCCTTTCTGGTTTTACTGAGACACGGTCTTGCCAAGATGCCCAGGCTGTACTCCAACTTGCCATCCTCCTGTCTCAGCCTCGAAGAGAGCTGGGATCACAGGGGTGTGCCGCCACATCCCGCCCCCGACCTCTACTGTGACCCTCCACAGCCACCTGTTCCTGGGGAAGTCCCCTCCCTTCTGCTGCCTGCGGCTTCCTCTCACCAGGTGTCATCAGCAACCACAGCCCCCCAGGCCACCGCACCCTTCGTATCCCCCAGGGCTGCATGGCCAGCCACCCAAGGCCGCCTCTCTCCCCACACGGGTCCTTCGGGGTGCACAGGGCCTTTAACCTGGGCTCTGCCCACCACCCTGGTCCCTGTCGCCTGGTCCTTCCTGCCCTAGGTGGGCCCTCCTGTCCCCTGTCGCCTTTGCTGTGAGGTCCCCTCAGGGCCGGCGTGTCCAGGCACCTCAGCGGGTGTGTGCGTGAGCAGCTTCCCCTCTGATGCGCCCTTGGGCGCCAGGACATCCGAATCCCCAAACTGTCCCTGTCCCTGTCATGCGCAGTCTGGGAGGCTGAGGGGGAGGGTCGCATGTTCCAGCCCAGCGTGGGCAACTTAGCGAGACCCCGTGGGAAAATGGAAAGAGCGTTGGAGACAGCTGGGTGTGAAGACCCTCGATCTGGCCCGCAGCACCCCAGGCGGCCGAGGTCTCGGGACTCAGGAGGAACTGGGGCGGGGGCGGCTCGCAGTGGCCGTGTTCAGCATGGGTGAGACCCTGGGCGCTGCCACTCAGAAAGGAGAAGTGAGCTCCGCACGGCTCGCCGAGCGCCCTGCAGGGAGGAGACGCAGCCGGAGTTGCAGGGCGCCCGGCCCGGCACCTGGGCGCTGCCCCTTGTCCCGGCCGGAAGCGGCTGCTCCTCTGACGCCGCGGTTTCCCCCCAAGTCCCTGCCGCCGGCACCGCAGGCGGGGCTCGGACCCCGCTCTGCCCCAGCCCCTGGGCGGTGGCGCTGCCCCCACCAGGGTCCCCGCAGCTCCGCAGCCTTGGTGGCCGGCTAGGACCCGGCCCAGCGGCCACCTGCGCCCCCCACGCCTGCAGGGCCCCGCCCGTCCGCTTCTGCTTTGGGGCCACAGCGGGGGTCCTCGGCCCGAGGGTGGGGACGGGGCAGAGGTCGGCCGAGGGGAGGGCCTGGGTGCGCCCCGCCCCACGGCCACCACGCAGGCTCTGGGCCGGGAACCCGCACCCTGTCCGGCCTCGGCCTTCGGGTGGCGGGAGGGGGAAGCGAGGGCGCGTGATTGGGAAGCCGGGGGCGGAGCCGGGGCGGGGCCTCCGCCAGGTTAAAGTGGCCGAGCTCCCGCCGCGCCCCGTGCCCTCCGCCATGGCCCTTCCGCCCCTCGCCCCGCTGCTGCCGCTGCTGCCGCTGCTGCTGTCGCTCCCGGGCGTCCCTGCGATGGCCCTGGACACCTCCGCGGGGGCGGCCGGCTGCAAGGTAGGGATCGCGCCGGCCGGTGACACCGAGGGGCCGGGCCCCGGGCCCCGAGCGCCTGAGTGAGCGAGTCCCCTCCGTGCCAAGGGGCAGAGGCAGGGGCAGGGGCAGGGCCGCCCGCCGGCCTCGCGCATTCCGGCGGGGACTGCAGCCGCGGGGGCGACCGGAAGTGTGTGCCGGGCGGGAAGAGTCACGGGAAGGCGCGTGGGAGCCCGGCTGGGCGCGGGCAGGGGCGGAGGGGGCCCGGGACATGCATTAGGCGCCTGCAGTATGCACCCGCCTCCCCCGCTGAGCCGAGTGCAGGAGCGAGCCCCACCCCGCCCCGCCCTCCGCGCCAGGGGGCTGGGTACACCAAGCGCGAACTGGTTCGAGGCTGTCAAATCCGTTTCTGCAGCCAAATTGAGATGGAGGAGCACGGAAGCACACAGTCAAAAGCTGGCTTTTGCTGGGCATAGTGGCACATGCCTGTGGTCCTAGCACTGGGGAGGCTGAGGCAGGAGGATCCTGGCGAGTTGAAAACCAGCCTGAGCTACTTGGTGAGACCCCGTCTCAAAGAACCTGAATAAATAAATACAGCTGGACTTAGTAGTATATGCCTGTCATCGCAGCACTGGCGAGGCTGAGCCGAGAGGATTGCCAAGCTACATAGTAAGTTCAAGGCCAGCCTGGACTACCTAGTGTGACTCTGGCTCAAAAAAAAAAAGCAAAGGAAAAAGGAAAATCGGCCGGGGATTTATTTAGCTCAGTGGTTCCGCCGCCCGCCTCGAGGGGGCAAGGTCCCGAGTTAGATCCCCGGTACCAAAAAAAGGGAAAAGGTCTAGAGTGAGGGACTGCACCTGGCAGGCTCCAGTGCCTGTGGGTGCAGCCCCTGTCAGGAGGGTGACAGAGGCTGCGCCCTCCCCAGCCGCACGGCCTGTGCCTGCAGAGCACCCCCAGGGTGACCGACGCACCCCCAGTCAACGTCACCCTGTACTACGAGGCGCTGTGCGGCAGCTGCCGGATGTTCCTGGTGCGCGACCTCTTTCCAACCTGGCTCCTGGTGCTGGAGATCCTCAACGTCACGCTGGTGCCCTACGGGAACGCCGTGGTACGAAGGCCGGGGAACTGAGTGCGGGGCGGGGCGGGCCACCTGCCACCTGTGCTCACTGGCCTGGTGTCCGGCAGGAGCGGAGCGTCAATGGCTCCTGGGAGTTCAGGTGCCAGCACGGCGAGCAGGAGTGTAAGCTGAACAAGGTGGAGGTGAGCAGGGGCTCTGCGGGGCCAGGGCCAGGGCCGGGCTGGGGCGCCCGCTCACCCTGTCCCCACGCAGGCCTGCGTACTGGACCAGCTGGATCAGGACGCCGCCTTCCTGACCATCATCTGCCTCGAGGAGATGGAGGACATGGAGAAGAAGCTGACGCCGGTGAGAGGTCCCATCCACAACCGGTGAAGCCTGGTGTTCCCAGCACTCAGGAGGCTGAGGCAGGAGGATCCCAACCTGGACCATGTACCAAAACTTCCATCTCTGAAGCAGGAGGAGAAGGGTCTCTTGGCAGCATCCCAGGAGACTTCCTGGAAGGGAAACCTCTGAGCCCTGTGTGCAAGGGAATGTACAGATGGCAGGGCACTGTGGAAAATAACTGCCCGAGGGCTGATTCAGCGGCCCTGCTCCTTTATTCACTCATCAAACATCCAGGCCACCCAAGGGGCCTCGCCCCAGATGCTCCCAGCCTGACAAGGCCACAGTGGGGCTGGGGCCGAGGAGAGGAGGAGGAAAAGTGTTCCTGGTGGAGGGAACAGAGTGCACGGGCGCTCAGAGGACGGGGGTCCCTGGGGGGAGGTGCAGATCTGGGCTTGGAGGCCTGGCTTGCAGGCCTGCTGTTTAAGGCACCGCTGCTAGGCAGTGGGGCCAACTGCCCCCAGTAGGCAGTGAGGAAGCCGGGGATGGTTGGGGAGATAACGGGTAGGAAGCTAAGGCGAGGCCCTGTTGCTGTCGCAGTGTCTGCAGTTATATGCGGCCAATGTGTCAGCGGACAGCATCATGGCATGTGCGGAGGGGGAGCGCGGCACACAGCTGCTGCACCGGAACGCACAGCTCACGGATGCCCTGCAGCCGCCGCATGAATACGTGCCCTGGGTCCTCGTCAACGGGGTAAGGGCCAGGGGGCCACACACCGGGGGTCCCAGCACTCTGGCAGGCTGAGGCAGGAGGATCTCTAGTTGGTGCCCACCTGGGCAACTTGGTGATTTAGAGAGACCTTGGCTGCGCCCCCCCCCACCACAGGGCAGGTGGAGATGTGGGGATTTTTCTCATTTCCCGCAGAAACCTTTGAAAGACCTGAGCCAGCTTTTGAGTCTGGTCTGCCAGCTGTACCAGGTAAGCTGGGCACACGGAGCCCTGGGCCCTGCTGCTACAGGCAGAGGTAGCGGTGTCCTTCAGGGACACTTGGACTCCACGGCATCGTCCTCCTTTCTCCAGGGCCAGGAGAAGCCAGACATCTGCTCGGCCATGGGCAGCACCCGAAGAGAGGTCTGCTTCAAATGAGGCTGGGGCCCTAAGGGAGCCCATGGAGGAAGGGCAAGAGTCCAACTGCCCCTTTGTCCCATCTCCAACCTCAGTGGAGACAACCGACTAAACAGAACTCCTACACGTCCCACAAAGCTCACACCAAAGTCCCCTCCTGTGATCCAGAATCTTGCCTCGCTGACAGTGGTGCTAAATCAAAACTAATTTGATAAATAATAAACCATTTTGGCTGTTGTGATTCACTCTTTGTGGATTTTGTTTTTTTATTTTTTTCTTTGTTTGGTTTTTTGAGACAGAGTCTCACTATGTATAGCAGGTGGGCCTCAAACTGATCTTCCTGCCTCAGCCTCCCCAGTGCTGGGATGACAGGATCCTTTTATGCCTCAGGCCCTCAACCTGATGTGTTCTAGTCCCTTGTCCCTGGGGTTCCAGGTGCCAGGTTGTACTGCATCTTGAAAAAATTCCAGAATGGTTAAGGGAAGATTTTCAAAGAAACATAAAATTGTGACTTATGTGAAGGAACCCAGGAACCCTCATTAATAGGCCCTCGGCAGCCACAGCAACTCAGGGGTCAAGTTTGCCCAAGAAATGGCTCCTCCTACACAACCCAGCTTGCAGCAAATGAGGAAGTTAGCGATGCTTTCTTGGAAGTAACAAGAGAGCCCCGTCGGATGCCCCTGGTGAGGGGTTTCCAGCAGAAAATCCAGGCTGTGCCATTGGTTCCTGAGCAAATAAGTTCCAAAGCAAACTGGTTGGGGCATTCTCAGGGCCTCTGGGTCGGGGCCAAGTCCAGGGCGGAGGCGGAGGCGGAGGAGCCGGGAGGGGGGCGCCCTGCTCTGCAGGCCCCACCCCCTTTGTGCTCAGTTTCTCCTTCGTCCTTCTGGGCTTGCGGGCCTCTCGCTCTTTTGGGGGGGGGGATCGAACTCCGGTCCTTGAGCTTGCGCAGCAGGTGGCGAAACCACTGAGCTAAATCCCCAGCCCCTTGCTCCCTCTTGAATTAGCTGGGTCCTCCGGCCACCGTTTAAGCTGCCTCCCTGGCTATACCGGTGACTAAACTACGCTCCTGCCCGTAACGCTGTTTGGTTTTTTGTCACTTTCATTTTCCTTTCTTTAATTTTGTGCTTCGTTCCGATGCCATCCTGGATCGCGACTGGGAATTTGGCTTTCTGGTGGGCCCACGTGGTGACCTATAAATGGCGTAAGGTGCTGCAGGCAGGAGACAACTGGAAGACCAATTAAGAATCTAGGCCAGGTGTTGTGGTGCAATACCAGCACTCTGGAGGCTGAGGCAGGAGGATCGCCCCGAGTTCGAGGCCAGCCTGGGCTACATAGTGAGTTCAAGGCCACCCTGAACTACAAAGTGAGACCCTGTTTTTTTTAAAAAAAAAAAAACCCTAAACCCAACAAACATAAATTTAGAGTGAATCCGGGCATGCTGGCACACACTGGTAATCCCATTCCCTGAGCCCAGGATTTTGACACCAGCCTCTCAGTAAGACCCTGTCCCCAAAATAATTAATTACTTTAGTGTGGGCTTAGAGTGTTCGCTTTTTCCTCGGTAGCGCTTAAGACATAGCGTACTGTGTAAAAAACAGTTTAGCTCAGGAGCCACACAAAAACAGGTGGCCACAGGATTTGCCCCGCCGACAATACTGTGAAATACACAGAACGAATATAGATTTCCACTGAAACACATTGTTTCCTACAAGAACACAGGAGGTCAAAAAGAGGATGTACTAACTTGCGCAGCCCGCCGAGTTGCTGAGACATGAATTTATGCAGGTCACGGGCCCCTGAAGCGCGTCTCACGTTTTTATTTTTATTTATTAGCTACTTTTTCGGTGCTGGGGAGGGAACCCAGCGTCTCGCGCATGCTGGCAAGCGCTTTACCGCTGAGTGCCTCCTCCACAGCCTTTTCAGGATTGTTTTGGGAACAGGGTTTAGCTAAATGGCCCAGACTAGACTCGAATTTGCGATCCTCCTGCCTCAGCGTCCCGAGTAGCTGGGATAACAGGTGTGTGCCACCTCTCCCAGTTGTTTTATTGTAGGAATTTTTTTGTTTTGTTTTGTTTGGTACCGGGGATCAAACTCGGGTCCTTGCGCTTGGGCAGCAGGCGGCGAAACCACTGAGCTAAATCCCCGGCCCTATTGTATGTATTTTTAATGGTTTCTCGAGACAGGTTCTCACTAGGCATCCCAAACTGGCCTCATACTCAGGGCGATCCTTCTGCCTCAGCTTCCTTAGTGCTGGGATTACAGGCGTCAGCCACCCGGCCCAGCTGTTTTTTATAATTGTTAATTATTATCATTCCAGAGGGTCAATGTACGAAGCAGGCTGCAACTGGACTACTCTCACAGATCCGCAGCGCCTTGTCGTCCCACTTGCAGAAAGCTGCGGGACTGGACTTCCATCGTCTACAGCTGCGCAGGTCCTAGCACTGCCGCGGTAACTCCGGGAGAAACTGGAAATCTGCATGGCAACTAGACCCGAGATGTGGTGCCTGCCTCAGATTGGCCATCTTCGATTTAGGAGGCGGGGCTACCGTCCCGATTTGTTCGCAAACCCGGTCTGCGGTTGGCCGGTACTTCGCAAGCGGAGGTGTGGGCTACGGCTATCCATAGGCCAGCGGACAAAGGGGCAAGGAAACAGGAGTGCAACGTCAACCACTGGGCTGTGTGACGCTTATTTGCGATTGGTCCGCCAGCTGGGGAGGCGGTGCAATCCTAGTTCGCGAGCGACCTTGGGAGAGCAGGACTACTTTTTATTGGCTAATACTTCCCCGGGCGGGCCAAGGATAGTCCAAGACGATCATCGATTAGTCAGTGCCACTTGGGGCGCGGCGCGAAGACAGAGTGGATTGGCGAACTCCTGTACGGGTGGGCACTCGGAGCGCAGCGGGGCTCGGGATTGGCCGAGGCGGCGAAGGCGGGGCGGGACAGAACCAGGCGCCGGTTCCGGGCCGGGTGGCGATGGCGCCGGGTTCCTGGCGCTGGGTGCGCGGTGTCTGGGCAGCGGGGCAGCCCCTGTTCCAGGGCCGCGCGCTGCTCGTCACCAACACGCTGGGCTGCGGCGTGCTCATGGCGGCCGGGGACGGCGCGCGCCAGGCCTGGGAGATCCGTGCGCAGCCCGGCCAGACGTTCAGCCCGCGGCGCTCAGGTGAGCACCCCCCGCTGCTCCTCACCCATCACTTTGACCCTTAGCTCAAATTGGGGGATCCCCGTGCTGGACAGGCTGGCCGTGACCCGTGACCTGTGACCTCGGCCCCCTTGACCTCAGCCCCTCCCGAGCGTCTGTCCCTGGGTCCCCGGCACCCGCACCCCGTCTGTCCCCTCCAGGAGCCCCGGCCTGGCCCCGTCTGGCGGGCGCCGTCGGGTCGCGTCCCTGACTCCGCCTCTCCCAGCCCGCATGTTCGCCGTGGGCTGCAGCATGGGCCCCTTCCTGCACTACTGGTACCTGTGGCTGGACCGAGTGCTCCCCGCCGCAGGCCTGCGCAGCCTCCCGAACGTGGTCAGGAAGGTGCTTGTGGACCAACTCGTGGCCTCGCCGCTGCTGGGCGTCTGGTACTTCCTGGGTAAGGACGGGAGCGGCCTGCAGAGGTGGCCCTGGGCTGGGGGCCGTGGCAGTGGAGGCGGTCAGACCCGGCCCGGCCCGGCGCGCGGTGGCCCGGGTGGGAGATGGGATGCGCTTCCCCGTGCAGCCACACAGCTCGGGGGGGGGGGGCCGCCGGCCCTGCAGACTCAGTTTCCCCGTCTGTAAAGTGGCCTCAGTACAGCGGCTCCCGGCTCGGCTCCTCTGAGCCCCACGTGTGTCGTCTGTATGACCGCCGCGCTCTCTGTCACTGGCCACCCTGCTGTCCCGCCCCCTCCATCATCCAGCCATCGCCTCCGCCCCGAAGGAGCCCGCGGCCCCAACACTTGGTTTCCCTTCCAGGCCTTGGCTGTCTGGAGGGCCAGACACTGAGCCAGAGCTGCCAGGAGCTGCGGGAGAAGTTTTGGGAATTCTACAAGGTGGGAGGAGCTCGCTCAGGCCCCGCCCCGCCCAGTCCCGCCCTCTCCCGCCCCAAGGCCCTGACCCCGCCCGATCCCCCCTCCCTCTCAAGGCCGAGGCTCCGCCCCTCACGCGTCCCACCCTCCCTCAGGCTGACTGGTGCGTGTGGCCCGCAGCACAGCTGGTGAACTTTCTCTTCGTGCCCCCCCAGTTCCGGGTCACCTACGTCAACAGCCTGACGCTGGGCTGGGACACATACCTGTCCTACCTGAAGTATCGGGTGAGCTCGGTGGGTGAGGGCGGTCCAGACACCCTGAGGACTGCTGGGGGTCACTTGGGTCAGCCCCAGGTGACACTGCGGGCGCCAGGCAGCAGGTGGTCCGGGTGTCCTGGGCCACGACAATCCCACCCCACAGTGCGCGGGTCTGGTGCTGCTGGGCCGTGCGTCCTCCCCAGGTCCCAGTGTGACTCGAGCAGGGCTCACCCCGAGGGCAGGCACTGGTGGAGGGGACATGGTGGGGGGCACCTGCAGTGACCACAGCCTCTGTGCGACAGATCCCAGGCGCTCTGCCATCCCAGGCTTCGGACTGAGCTGCCCAGGCTCAGTTCCGGGTGCCAGACGGGTGGCACCCGCGGAGCGGACCACTTCCGCCAGAAGGGGAAGCGATTCCGCCGGCCGGAGTCAGGCCTCAGCGAGAGACCCGTGACCCAACCGCCAGGCCCCGCCGGTCCGGAGCCCCAAGACCTCATCACTGCCCTGACCTGGCTCCAGCCAGGCAGCCACCCAGCAGGGCACGGTGCAGTCCCTGCAGCACCCCGCGTGTCTCCGTCACGCGCGCTGTGGGAACCCCATTAAACTCTGCAACCACAGGGTCCCAGGTGCCCGAGGATGGCCACGCACAGCGACATCGCGTGGTCCATTCGCTTTATTTGAATGTGGTAGAGTCGTGACATTTCCTAGGGAACTGGGGGGCACGTTGGACACTCATGACGTCAGAACAAGTCTGGGGGCCCTCGGCACCCACCCACCCAGAATGCTGAGACCGTAGGAGGACCCGGCAGGCATTGGTGGATGCTGACCCCCCCCCCCGGTCCACAGGGTCCCCAGAGTAGTGGCCTCGGGCCCCTGCAGGGCCCAGGGCGGGCAGCCAGCCACCTCCTGTCACCTGTCTAGCCTGCTGGGGGTGTCACCGGGCCCCCTCTTCACAACCAACCGTGATGGGTGAATTAGAAAAACCAACCGGGGGATGGGGTCTGGAACCGTGGGGCGGGGCGGGGCTGTATGTACAGGGCAGGGCGGGCCTTCCTCAACCAATAAATAAAGAGCTACGATAATAAATAGGGGTGGCAGGGGGCGGGGTTTGAGCCGGGAGGGTGGGGGCCCAGGCCTCAGCAGGCGCAGTCCTGGTGCGGGGGCACCTGCTGGTCGCTGAGCTGCGGGCCCTGCTTGGCGCCCGTGACCGCGGGGTCTGCCGTGTCCAAGGACTCTGACATCTTCTCGCAGATGACGTCCACCAGGCGCTCGAAGGTCTGCTTGACGTTGATGTTGTCCTTAGCGCTCGCCTCGAAGAACTCGAACCCTGGGGTGGGGAGAGCGGGCGTCGCATGGCACAGGGTTGGTCTGCCCTTCCCGCCCTTCCTCTGCTCCCCCAGACCTCACCCTCAGCTGACTGCCCCTCCTGCGCACCACACTGGCCATGGCTGCCCTGCCCTCAAAGTCCCGGGTTCTCAGCGCTGATGGAGGCCCTGCACGACTGACGTTTCCCCCAGCTGGCCCTCCTGTTCCAGCCTCGTAGTGGCTCTCAGCACACCGGACCTCCCTCCCTCTCTGTCTCTCTCTGGCCTTTTGTTTCCTCTGCCCTCCAAGCTCCAATCCACTGCCACCCTTACTACCCCTGCCCCAGCCTGGCTCTCCCCCTGGGCTCCTCCGGCCCAGGTCTTGCCTTCTAGTCACAAAGTGAGGCGCCTTTCAGGGGCCCACACCTCCCAACAGGAAGCCCACAGTGAGGTCATCAGAATGAATCACTTTACAGTGAATTCCTATACGTCTGTCAAACCCATCTCAGACCCACCCATTTGCAGAAAGTGTGACCTGCTGGGATTTGAATCCATGCCTTGTCCCAGTTCACTGTATTTGTTTTTTTTGGTACCGGGGATCAAACTCGGGACCTTGCACTTGCGAGGCAGGCAGCGGAACCACTGAGCTAGATCCCCGGCCCCCCGGTTCACTGCAGATCTTAGTGTGTCTTCCCCTCAGTGCCTCAGTGGCCCTGTGTGGCCTGCACGGCACTCACCGAGGTGGTCAGCTAGCTGCCGGCCTCGTTCCGACGAAACCACCCGCTCGTCTTCCATGTCACACTTGTTCCCCACCAGCAGTACCTGGGCATTGTCCCATGAGTAGGTCTTGATTTGAGTGGACCTGCAGGAGTCGGCCACTGGGCGGTTATGGCTGGGACCCACTGTGCCCTGCCCTGCCCTGCCCTGAGGATTCCGGCTCTGACTACTGAGCTGCATCCCCCAGCCCCATTTCATTTCATTTTATTTTATGTCTGAGACAGGGTCTCACTATGTAGCTCAGACAGGCCTTGAACTCACTATGTAGCCCAAGCCAGCCTTCAGCTCACGGAGATCCTCCTGCCTCAGCCTCACAAGGGCAGAGATTCTAGGCATGCACCACCACACATGCACAGGACCTGGCTGGTCCTTGTGGCTTCTGTCCCACCCCTTGGGATTCCAGACTCCCTTCTATGTTTGCGGCTTTTCCCTCTGGACCCCCCTTCTCTCTGGTCCCAGGCACAGCCGCAGCGAGGCCCTCACCAGTCCTGCACAGCGTTGAAGGACTCCTCGTTTGTGATGTCGTACATGAGGATGAAGCCCATGGCGCCACGGTAGTAGGCAGTGGTGATGGTGCGGTACCGCTCCTGCCCTGCGGTGTCCTGGGGGAGAGAGCCAGGGCTCAGGACCCAAAGCACGGGATAGCTCAGCCTGTGTGGCCCGGCCCGGGCAGGGCAGGGACGGCAGCCAGGCCACCTGTCCCCCTGCGATATCACCTGACCCGCAGCACTCCCTCAGTCTCTCAACAAATGCACAGGGCGCCACCTCATGCCCTTGTGCTGTGCCCCACATGGGCGCTGGGGATGCAGGTTAACGAGAAGCAGGAAGCCAACTGGAGCCCAGTAAGGGTGAGCAGCAAAAGAAAGCGGATGAGGGGGAAAGTGCAGATGCAGAGTGGCTTAAGACCCCGGAGAGCCGGAAGTGGTGGCGCATGCCTATGATCCCAGCACTCGGGAGGCTGAGGCAAGAGGATCATTGAGAGTTCCAGACCAGCCTGGGCTACATAGCCAGACCCTGTCTCCAAAAAGAAACAAACATCGGGCTGGGGATTTAGCTCAGTGGTTCTGCCACCTGCCTTGAAAGCACAAGGTCCCGAGTTCAATCCTCTGGTACCAAAAAAAAAGAAACAAACATAAAAACCCAAAGAGCAAGATGCATTATAACAGCATTCTGGAAGCTGAGGTGGGAGGATCACAAGTTTGAGCCCAGCCTGGGTAATTTAGTGATTTACGCAGACCCTGACAGCTAGGATGGGCATCTGTTGGTTGCCATGGAGGCTGCAGGCAGAGAAAGGATCATCTCGCAGCGGCGCTCCCCTCACCCCTGTGGGGGCACTGTCCCCTGGAATGAGGGGCTGCGACCCACTGACCCTCAGGCCAAGCAAGGCCGAGGATGGGGAAGTGCAGGCTGGGATTCGGCACCCACAGCTCCCTTGCTCTCCGCCCCCCACCCCAGGGTGCCAATGAATGAACCGGAAGGGGATGGCAGAGGGGAGGCGCCCGCCAACCCACCCAGATCTGTAGCTTGATCCTCTTGTCATTGCGGTAAATGGTCTTGACCTTGAAATCAATGCCCACGGTGCTGACGAAGGCGGGCGTGAAGGAGTCGTCAGCATAGCGGAAGAGAAAGGACGTCTTCCCCACGCTGCTGTTGCCGATGATCAGGATCTTGAACATGTAGTCGAAGTTCTGGTCTGAGGACTCCTTCTGCCCATAGCGCGAGTCTGTGGCAGACGCCATCTGGGGGCGAGAGGGGACAGTGTGAGGGGCCTCCCACATCCACCTGCCAGGCTGGAGAGGGCTGCGGGGTGGTGCCCACCCTGACCCATAGGAAGCCCCAGCGTTCATGGGGTTCCCCTAAGAGTCTGGCTGTGACCTTGAAAGGCTTCCCAGGAGGGCCTCAAGGAGCTATGGGTGGGGACACCCCTGCACCCCAGATTGGGCTGTGACCCTGAGGGGGCGGGACTGGGACTGGCCATCCCGTTAATCTTTCCTGGCCCGGAACGGTGTACACACAAGTCAGCAGCCACCCTATCCCCAAGCCCCTGGGCTGAGAGCTTGCATCGAGGCGGCTGCAACACGTGACAGAGGCGTGCGTGCGACTCACGTGCACCCCATCTCAAGCACCCGCACGCACCCTGCAGACACCAGCGTGCCAAGCCCTCCACCACCAAGGGTGGAGAAGGCGCACCTGAGCACACAGCAACCTGCGCCTGAGAGCGCGCAGACCCACCCGGGCGCCTGGCTCAGCATCCACACAGGCGTGCCCGCCTCTGTCACGCACAGGGGCACGGAGTTCTGTGGAATCCGCTGTGCACGCACATGCAAGTCCTGCTTCCCTGCACACCGTGCGGCTCGTGCACACCTGCGCACTGACGCGAAGGGACCACCCGGGAAGACCTAGGTCCACGCGCAAGTGTGCACAGCCCCGGGCACAGGCGCGCGCGCACACGAGTGTGCACACCACGCGCACGCGCACGCAGCAGCCTCCCGCGCACACCGCGGCCTGCAGGCGTGCTGCCCCTCCCCCTCCGCCGCAGCACCGGGTGGGGGCGCCGCGGGGGCACAGTGGGGGCGCAGGCGCGCCGGAGACCCCGACCCCGCTGCGCGTGCCCGCCCTGTCCCCCGAGGTGTCCCCGCCCCAGTCAAATGAAGGTTATGCGGGGCCTGGGGGGGAGAGCGCGGCCGCCCGAGCTCACCTCGACCTGCACCCAGGCGGCAGCGACCGAACGGCAGCGACTTCTCCGGCGGTGGCGGCAACCGGGCCCCGAGAGCTGGCGTTGGGCTGCTTGACAGCGGCGGCGGCGGTGTGGCGATGGCTCAGCCCCTGCAGTCCGCGGTGACGTCCTGCAAAGTACGGGGCGGAACTGCACCTGCAGACGCGGCGTGACGCCATCGGGGGCGGAGCCGCGCATGCAGATAAGCTATGGCGCCGTCGGGGCGGGGCCGTGCCCAGAACCGCGGCCGGAGAACGCTGGCAGACGGGGGAAGGGGCGGGGCTCTCGCGCAGATTGACACGAGAGCGGGGCGGGGCTAAACCTGTGCTTACCCGATGGGCGGGGGTGGTTCCAGCTCTCTGTACTCCGCCTCTCACTTCGCCTCTGTCCGCCTCAGGGGCGTGGATTCTTGGAGGTCTTTCATTGGGTGAAGAACTCGAGCGACGGGCCAACTATCCAATCATATATCGAAAATCCTTCCTCCCGTCCAATGGTGACTCTCAGCCGTTTGAAGGGACGAGAGCCGGAGGCCTGGCCTTGAGCCCAGGTCTTGGGGGCAGCTCCCCTCCCCACCAGCGAGCATCATAGGTAGACAGACCCAACCTCGTCCAAGGTGCTGTGACTCCTCATTAACGCCTCCTCCTAATTTCAGAAACGGGGAACTGGAGTCGGCAAGATGATCGGTCCACGCCCTATCCCAATAGTCAGGGCTCAAAATACATAAAAAGAGAGGAAAGACGGGTTGAGAGGCCCTTGTACAGTTCTTGATGTTTCAGACCCCGAGACGGGTCCGACAGAGCCCCACCCTCCCCCGGGTCTGAAGCCGTGAGAAGAAAGGAAGTGAGGATCGGGAGACCCCCTCCCCGCCGGCCCTCAGAAAGGACGGGTCATGGGACTCCCCGAACCCTCCTTCCCCGACCCCAGCAAAACAAGACGAGGTCAGGGCAGAGCAGCGTCCTGTGTCCTAAACCCAAAGCCCCGGGAAAGGGGGTGCAGGGGAGATACCCCCGCTCCAGCCCTTACTGCTGGGGCGCAGAGGCCCAGGGCGGCGACACTCGGCGGTCACGGTGCTCCGCGTGGTCCCCGAAGCCTCGAGGCAAAGGTCACACACAGAGTGGGGACCCTGAGACCGTGGCCTCCGGGCTCCTGACTGCTCCCCCCCTCCGGTTTTGCAGCACAGCTGGGGACACCGGTCCCCCAGAGCCCGTCCCCGCGCCCCCTCCCCGAGCAGCTGGGGCCCGGGCCCGTCTTTACGGACAGCTACCGGCTGCGGGGGCGCAGCGCCCGGAATAGCTCCGCCTGGGCCGGGCGTGGGGCGCCCACCACACCCCACTCCGCGCAAGGCATCGGGGATCATTTTCTCAGGATGACCTGTTTATCTCCCTCCCCCACCCCACTGGGCAAATTAAGAAAAACAAAACATAAATAGCAGTTAAGTGCGCGCCCTGGGTGGGAGTCGGCCCCGCCCCAGGGAGGAGGGGAGGCTGAGTCAGGCAGCAGCAGAAACACCCAGGGGACAGGCAGCCGCTAGGACTGGCACCTACTTCTGTTTTAGAAATAAAAATAACATGCTGCGCGTGATGGCTGAGTAATCCCGGCTACTTGGGAGGCCGAGCCGGGAGGCCACCCCTGGGAAGCTTCGTGAGACCTTCTGAAAGTGAGAACGTGAAAAGGGCTAGGGATGCAGCCAAAAGAGGCCCTGGGTTCAAACCTCAGTGCTGCCCCCCCCAATTTCAATGATCATGTTGACGGGTTTCTTCATTACCTGTCTGTACGTTGTGCCAGGCAGGGGTGGTGTCCAGCGGGGGACCCAGGGTGCAGGTGCCCAGTGACACCGGGCCTTGAGGAGCTAATGAGTGGGGACTTTGGCCATGGAGAAGGTGAGGGGGAGCTCGCTGAAGAGGAGAGATTGTTTCTGGAGTTGCTTGGGTTTTTGTTTTCTGTACCTGGGATCGAACTCGGGACCTTGCGCATGCGAGGCAGGCGCCAGAACCACTGAGCTAAGTCCCCAGCTCGGTTGCTTGGGTTTTTTGAGACAGGGTCTCGTCTCGCTATGTAGCCCAGGCTGGCCTCGAACTCATGGCGATCCTCCTGCCTCAGCCTCCTCAGAGCTGCCTGACAAGCGTGCACCACTGCGCCCAGCTGGTTTATTCTTTTATTTGCGGTGCTGGGGATGCAGCCCGGGGCCTCCCACATACTTCACGGCAGTCCGGGCCCCAGATGATGAATGTTCTCATAAACAGGTGAAGCTCAGCCGCGGGCAGAAGCAAGCTACAGCACTGGATTGTGCTCATGCCTATTCTCTTTTCCACGCGTCTGTCCCCATCATTCGCAGATTCTCTGCAGTGAGCGCGGATCACCCGGCCAGGCGGGGAGGGACAGCGCCCGGAGGCTGTCTTCTAACACCCGTGAGGAGCCGCCCCAAGCCGGTGCCCGGGTGGCCTCTAGTTCTTCCTGGCGGAAGCTCAGCGTCAGTGGTGACGAGGACCAGCGCCCCGGTTATCATAATATTTATGAGCAGAGCCAGCTGTCCCCCGAGCTGGGGCCGCGGATGACGCGGACCATGCATGCATTTCCGGGCCACAGCACTGAATGCTGTCCTAGCAGAGCCCAACGCGGGGCTCGAACCTGAGACCTGGACAGGGCTCAGACCTAGCTCGGCATGGGGAACCTGAGCTCCACGCTGCTGCGCTCCCCCTCCAGCCACCAGGGGGCAATGCTGGCCAAACACGGCTCTGTGCCTCAGTTTCCCCACTCATCAAATGACTTTCCTGGGGGCGGTGCTTTGAGGTAACCTAGGGCCTCATGCATGCGAGGCCAGGGTTCACCACTCAGCTGCACCCCACCTGGCCTTTATTTATTTTTTGGTACCAGGGATCAAACTCCGGACCTAGCAGTTGTGAGGCAGGCGGTGAAACGGAGCTAAATCCCCAGCCCGTTTTTATTTTTTATTTTGAGGCATTGTGTTGCTAAGTAGCCCACACTGCCCTTGAAATCCCCACCCTCCTGCTCCAGCCTCCTAAGTAGCTAGGACTCCAGGCACTGGGCACCGCAGAGTCCCCAGAAGGGACACTAATATTGGAGAGCAGGGTGTCTTCAGGCCTGAAGGGTCAATTGAACCCCAGAGAAATGTCCAGTGGCCCCAAATTTCTATGATACTTCTGGAGGTCACAGCCACCAAAGTCCAGCCAAGTACTAGGATCAGGCCATGTGGGTCATGGAGGCCCAGCGCAGCCTCAGCAATCAGACGCAGGGTCCGGGGCGGGTGGGGATTCCGTGGATTTGTCGACATTACTGAGGGAGGCAGGGGGCGGGCGGCCGGGGGTGAGAGCTTGCCTAGCAGGGCCTAGGCCATCTCCAGGGCTGCCAAAGGGAAGGAGGGAGGCAGGCAAGGTGGAGCACATCTGTGGTCCCAGCACTCGGGGAGGCTGAGGCAGGAGGATCTCAGGTGTAAGCCCAGCCCGGGCAACTTAGCAGTTAGGAAAACCCTGTCTCAAAGAGATAAAACATGGGCTGGGATGGAGCTCAGTGTGAAGGCCCTGGGTTCAAGCCCCCAGAAGGCCAAAGGAAAGAAAGAAGAAAGAACTGGATGAAGGCCAGGGCTCCAGAGTGATGGCTGGAGGTGGCTGGCCCCAAAGCCCCTCTCTGTGCCTCACCAGCTCCACTGAGTGTGAGCCCAGGACCCGAGGCTGGCGGCTCCCACAGAGGAAGCATGGCTGCCAGGAGCCGCTTCTGGAAAGCCGAGCCCAGGCCGAGGGTGGGGGACCTGAGGCCTTGGCCCTCGGGTTCCCCACCATGCCCATGTTCAGCTCCCCAAGCCCTGGTGTCCAAGACGGGGCCTGGGGGACAGGAGCTAAGTGCACAGTGACGCGGTGCTCTCCTCCTGCCCCCCATCCTCCTCTGCTTCCTCCTCTGCTTCCGCCAGTGTCAGCTCAAACTGGAACCTGTCAGGGGCTCCCCGCTCAGAGCTGACAGTGTCCACGGGACTCCGAGGGACCCTGCTCTGGTACCACGCCCTGTTGTCCTCCAGCGTGTCCAGCAGGTCCTGTGCATCAGGGTGGACCAGGTCAGCCCAGGTCTCCCACAGCGGGTGGGCAATGTAGTCAATGAAGCCCACCTGGCAAGTGGCAGAGAGGGCAGACAGGCGTGCAGTGAGTCACAGGGCGCCCTTGAACTGCTCTGTCTTCTAGGCATCTGGCCATATTGTTTCCTCTGCTTGGAATTCCAAATCCCAACCCCTATTAAACCTGCAAAACCCTATTCATTTCCTATTTCCCTTTGTGGAAATGCAAGTGGAGCTCAGAGGCACAGTGTCCACTTGGCATGTGTGAGGTAGGTCCCGGGTTCTGTCCCCAGCGCCAGAGGGTGCGGATTAAGCTGGGGCCTGTGGGGGTGGCTCAGCGGCCCCTTTCCCTCCCCACAGTGCAGTCTCCGCACACCTGGGACGTCTCCACTGAGGCCGTGTGCTTGTCGCACATGGGGCTGATGTCCAGGCCGGACTCACGCTCCCGGTCGCCCTGCCGGAAGAACTCAGCCATGATGCGATCAGTCCACTGGCGGTAGAGGGGCAGCGGCTTGGTGGGGTTGCTGAGGTCGGCACAGTGGACCAGGTTCTGCAGGACCTGTGGGGACCGGGACTCAGGGGCCTGGCAGGGCCCAGCCACCCACCCAATGTTACAGGCGGGAAACTGAGGCAGCCCACCTGGATGCGGTCCGCATAGGTGTCCAGCAGCAGGACGCCGAGGCTGGTCACCTGCTTGGTCTCCACCATGGTCTTCAGGTCAGCCAGCAGGTTCATGTGCTTGGACATGTCGGTGGCCAGCACCTGGGGGCCCCAGGACAGGTGTGAGGACCCCTGCCCAGCCTCCAGGTCCTCAGCTGCAAAATGGGAGCGTGCAACAGGCCTCCGCGGGGCTGAGGTGACTCGTGGCTGAGGACATAGCCATGCAAAGGCCCGGGGGCTGGTGGAGGCAGTGGAAACACAGATGGTGATGACCCAGGGCCTGCGTCAAATGGCCCCGCCCCGCCTCACCATGTCAATCACCATCCTGCGCAGACTCAGCCACTGCTTGGCACTGAGGTTCCGGAAGATGTCACAGTTCTCCGCCTGCAGCAGTTTGAATCCCACCGCCAGGTGATGGTTCTCCAGCACAGAGATGTCGTTGTACATCAGCGCCAGCTCGGAGTCTGTGGGAAGCTGGGAGCCTCAAACCCATCTGCCCAACCCACTCCACAAAAAGGCAGCTCTACAGAATCCTTGGTGAACTCCTAGCCATCCGTTGAAGGCCCAACTCTAAATGCCCATTCTTCCAAAAAGTCACCCAGGTCCCTGGCCCTGATCTGACTTTGCAGAGACGGGGGTGTCTTGTTCAGCCTGTCCACCCGGCCAAGGGAGGAACAGGCCCAGAGTGCACCAGCCCCAGCCCCGACTCACTGGTGTTGATGAGAAACTGGTTGGAGAGCCCGGGGTGGTCCACGTCATGGATGGCACTGGCGAAGATGGCAGCCAGGACCTCTAGGTCCGTGAACACGGCCTGCGCAGGCGCGGGCTGTGAGGGCGGGGCGGCCACGCTGAGCCCCGCCCACCCGCCTCCAGGGAGGGGCTGTACCTCGAGCGCAGGCATGGCCAGCAGCACGTGTGCAGACTGCGCCACGTCGGCCGCATGCAGGCTGTTGTGATAGGCCACATCGGCGTGGTAGTGACCTTCCAGCGTCAGCAGGTAGGTGGCCAGGGCGTCCGCTGGGATCTGGAACTTCTTGAGCAGGTCCCGCTCCTGGTCCATCACAGGCCTCAGTCCTTGAGGCTCCAGCACACATTGCTCCTATTTGTTGCCTCTTCTGAACTCCTACACAGCCTTCAAAGCCCTCTCCTGCAGGATGCCCTCCCTTGCTCTCTCCTGAACTCTTCCTCTAGTCCACTCCTCACCCCAGACTAGTCTCTCCAGAGGACAGGACTCTTTTCAGAGCCAGGCCCAGGACTGAGGCTTGTAGACAATGTAGTGGTCAACCCAGTGAACTCCTACTCATCCTTCAATACCCTGCTCAAAATATCCCACTCAAGAGCATCAGGGAAGCACTGAAGAAGGAATGTCTCTGAGGTGTTGGGTAGGAAGAGCAGAAGGAAACCCCTGGGGTATTAGAAGGCAAAGACACAGGCAGTACCTGGAAGATGCTGAACAGAATGGCCGTAAGGGGCCGGTTCCCACTTAGCTCGGCCACCCTGAACACGTCAAGGCCCCACTTGTTGGTGTCTTCCAGCTCCTGAAATGGGACAATGGGAGGCTCCAGCAGCGCTGAGTGGACGCTGGAGGCCCGCCCTCCTGAGCGCCGGGCCCACCTTTGCCAGCTTCCCCTCCTGGTCCGTCTGCACCCCGAAGCGCGGGACTGCAGCCGCAGACAGGCCGCGGCCGGGGATCTCGGACAGGGGCCGCGGGGGCGGCTCCACATCGGTGCACTGGTCTGTGGGGCGGGGGGGGGGGGGGGCTCAGCGGCGTCTCAGCCAGGACCCAGCCCAGCCCCCACCACCCTGATCCAGGCCGAAGCTCCGCCCCACCCTCTCTTCTGTTACGGCTGATTTCTTCTGCTGGAGATTCAGGCCTGTGATTCTCTCCAACGGCGAACTTCTACTCATGCTTCAGAGCCCTAGCTGTCAAGACCTGTCCACCCAGAAGTAAGCCCTGTTCCTCCCTAGCTCACCCAGGAAGGTCCGGGAGATGTACTCTGACACCTGGTTTCCCGAGCGGCTGGTTTCAGACAGGTGGGTCAGCTCTCGGTTCAGCATGCGCTTGAACTGTGGGCGAGGAGGGGCCGGTGTCGGCCGGGCCCTGTGGAGGGGGTGGGTGGCCGGCCGGGGCCCCGTTCACGCTCACCTTGGTGGAGGCCATGTCGCCCACCGAGTGCCGCGTGTGCAGCGCCTCCAGCTGGTCCAGGCACCAGTCCAGCTCCGCCAGCGTCTCCAGCGCCAGCGGCCGCCCCGCGTCCTCTGGGGGCAGAGCTGGTCAGGGCCGCCCTGGCCCTGTGCGCCCCGGGAGCCCGCCCGGGTGTCCCTTCCTGGGCCCGGCCTCCCCGTCTGGAATGGGGGCTGCTGGCCGAGGCCAGGGGACTTTGGGGGTAGGGAGTGGGTGACAGTGGCCGGCAGTCCGAGGGCTCAGGTCACTCGGAGATGGTCACAGGCCCTGGGGGCGGGGACAGGCGCTTTACCTGCATCTGGCACCTGCGGGCTGCGGCCGGGCGGGCTCTCCACAGGCTCCGGCCTGGGCAATGGGACAGGACTCAGGGCCCCGCCCCCGGCACCCAGGCCCCGCCCCAGACCCAGCCTGTCCCGCCCCGATGGACATGGGCCCCGCCCCTGGCCGCCCAGGCCCCACCCACCCACCTGGCCTACCTACAAGCGCCAGAGCCCCAGCTCCGGCCTGGCCACCCTATTCTCTTCTCCTTCCCCTCTCTTCTCGGGGTACTGGGGATGGAACCCAGAGTCTTCGCCCTGAACTACACCCCCAGCCTAGTTTTTCATTTTTAATTTTGAGACAGAGTCTCCCGAGTCACTAAATTTGCCCAGGTTGGGTTTGTAAAAATTCATTCATTCATATTTTGAAACAGGGTCTCGCTATGGAGTCCTGGCTGGCCTGGAACTCACAGCGATCCTCCTGCCTCAGCCTCCTGCACGGAGTGCTAGGATGACGGGGGGGGGGCTCCACGTGGCCCTCTAGGGTTATTTCTTGTGCTGGAAAGTCCCCCGAGGCTCTCCCTCAGCTGCACCCTGCCCCTGCCCGGGCTTACCGGGTGGCCCCATGGGCGTGGCCGTGGGCCAGAGCCGCCACGTTGCTGCGCACGGTCCGCAGACTGGCCAGGACCTGCGGGAACCGGGGTCAGAGGGGAAGGGGTGGCTCCGCCGCGGCTCCAGAGTGAGGGTGACACCCACCTGGGCGAAGGGCGTCACGATCAGGTCTTCCCCGTGTCTGTGGGGAGAGGGCCGTTAGGGGTAACCCGGCTCCCCCACCCCGCTCCCCCAAAGGCCCCACCGCTCCTCCTAATCAACCACTTTTTCTGTGTCTCCTAAGTGGGGAAACAGATGATTATTGTGGCTACCAGAGGGCTCAAATCCGTGTGCTGGTTTGCTTGCTTCCAATCGGCCTTAATGTATGTGGGTTAACACCCTGACCCCACCCAGGCCAAGACCAAGCAGAGAACATCGGCTGATATAATGGACTGCACACTCGATTGAATAAATAGCAAACTCCTACTTAAACTGCAAAACCTGTTTCAAAAGATGTTTTAAGAGGAGTTTGCTGAATGGAGGAATAATGGAAAGAGAGGAGGAAGTGGCATCCCAGCAGCCCTGGACTCACAGGTCACTGGCCGCGGAGGAGTTCCGAGACATGGCCTTTGGCGACAGTTCATAGTCGCTGTCCGAACGATACAGGAAGGACTCTCGCCGCTGGCCGTGCGAGCCCGGGGCCTGGGCGCCCCTGCCACACGCCGGCCCATGTTCCAGGTCAAAGCTGGAGGCAGAAGGGACAGGGTAAGGACCCCGGGGTCGCGCGGCTGGGTGCGCGGTGGCGTCTGCACACCCTCCTGACGTGCGTGAGCCCTGAGAGAGTGGCTTCGGGGTGTCCGGACCCGGGACCGAGTTCAGATGTCCCCAAGCGGCAGACCCGCTCTGCACCAGCCCCGGCCCGTGTCTAAGTGCGTGGCAAGCACCGTCCCCAAAGCCTTTTCGGGAGTGAAAGCCAGGGACACACACACACACACATACACACGCACACACACACCCCGCCGGTTAGGTGGGCGGCTGGAAAGGGCGGGGGGGGGAGCCTCCGCCGGCTTTGCCCCACCCCGGCAGCTGGCCCCGCCCCTCCCACGTGGCCCCGCCCACGTCCTAGGCCGCGCCCAGCCCGGCGGTGTCCTCCCACCCTGCCCAGTCCAGCTGCCCAGCCCCGCAGACTCCGCTCAGCCCCTGGGCCCCCCTCCTCGGTTGCTCATGGGAACCTATGTCCCTCCTCTTGGGGTCACAGAAAGGATGTGGAGGAAGGACTGGGGCGCAGGCGTGGGGGTGGCGACTTTGGAGAGTCACGGGCAGGGTGGGTCTCGAGCTGTTTTCGCTCTTTTTTTGGGATAGGGTCTTGCTATGTAGTTCAGGCTGGTCTCGAACTCGTGCGATCCTCCTGCCTCAGCCACCTGAGACCTGGAATTACGGGTGTGTCGCCGCACCCTGCTGGGTCCCTGGCCTTTCAGAAGGTGTGGGCCGAACCAGCAGAGACAGGAGAAGTCGGGACCCCTGGCGACTCAGGGCTGCTGGCCAAAAGCCAGTGTCCACTCGAGCCCCTGCCGTGACCTTTGGAGAAGGTCACAGAGGGGTCGGGTCCAGAGGCTCTTGGCAGGGGCAGCCAGGCCTTGCTCAGGCAAGAATGAGGCCGGGTCTCCCTGAGTGCGGTCCGGTCAGGCTGGGCTGGACTGGCCCTGATGCGTCATCGGCTGGGACGAGTTCGTCCAGTTTCGGCTGCTTGCGACCGACCACACCGGGTGGGTTCGTGCTTCTTCGGCTTGGTCTGGCAATTCTTAGCCCGCTTCAGGAGGCCCTGGGACTGGGGCCGGTATGTTCGGCTTCATTCGGTCTCACTCGGGCAAGTTCGGCTACACTCGGGCTGTTCCGCCTGAGTGCTTGGGTTCCGGGAGGTCTCGCTGGGCTGGGCGTGGCCGGGAGGGGTGCATCTGCGGGGCTGGGGGACCCTGAACTTGCCCTCTTCAGGGCAAGGGCCCTCCGCAGGACCCCTAAGCCTGTCTCACTCTTCCCAAAGGTTACAAGAGGACGCGAGTAGTCACACTCAGAGAAACAGGCTAGGAGCAGCCGCGGTGCTGGGTTCTAATCCATCCCAGGCAGTAAGGGTTACGGGGCAGGCCTGCATTTTCCAGGGCGTAGGGGGCCTGTTTTTCTTTCTGTTCTAAACTTAGCTGGGCCGGCGGGGTCAGGAGTGGTTCCATGACGCGGACAGCCAGCGGTGAGGCCGCCCTGGCTATGGGAACGCGCGGCTGCCCACTGGCCAGACGGGTAAACTGAGGCAGGAGACCCAGCGGCCTCAGGCCTCGGAACTGGCCGTGGGTCCAGCCTGCAGCAGACCCGCCCTCCCTCAGCCTAAAGTTCGGGTCCCCTGGGTGCCTCCCGGACACCCCTGTGCCACCACAGAGCCCTTGAAAGACACCCTGAGGTCCCTCCGGGACCCCATTTCCAGGCGGAAGTGGCACCATGGGGAGCAGCCGCGTCTGCGCCTCCCCCAGCTGCCACAGCACTTCACCTACTGCCAAGACAGGGAAACTGAGGCACAGTCAACTGCCACTGCCAAGAAGGGGAAACCGAGGCAGAGTTACTTGCCACTGCCCGAGTGTGAGTTTGACACCAAATGAACTCAGTGCCAGCCCCGGCCCAAGCCCCCCAAGCTCACGGCTGCTTCTTCACGGGCGGGACTTGAACCCAGGGCTGTGGCCTCGCCCTGGGACCGGGACGTGGCTGCATGGACTCGCGGTGGTGCTCCGCCAGACGTCCCCAGGAGCTCGGGCCCTGCCGGCGGCGGGCCACCCTCCCCACGCCCGGGCCGGCAGGGTCAGGAGAGACGTGAGGCTCGGCCCGTCCTGCTCGGCCGCAGCCGGGAAGGGTCGCGGGTCCCCTGGGGGTGGCGGCCCCGGTGGGGACTGGAGAGCGAGAGGCCCGCCGCCCGCCCCATCGCCCTCACCACAGCGGGTGCGCCACGGTGAAGCGGCGCTGCAGGCGGATGCTCTGGTTCACCAGCAGCTTCCTGAAGAGCCCGGGGGAGCCGCGCGGGGACCCCTGGGAGGACCCGGGGGCCGCAGCCTGCCCGGCGGGGCCCTGCATGGCCGGGCGCGAAGGGCTGCGCCGAGGAGCGGAACGCGGGACTTTTGTGGTCAGCCGGGGGCGGGGCCGGGAGGGGGCGGAGGGGCCGCCCCGCCTGGCGCTGGACGCTCGCGGAGGACCCAGACCGGGAAACTGAGGCACGGGCGGCTGCCACCTGCCGCAGCCCCTGCAGGGGACAGAACCCGATCAGCGGCGCTTCCCTGCAGCCCCTCACTGCCCAGGGCGTGGGGGGCTGGACCCTGCACCTACAGCCTCCAACCCCTCCCCGTTTCCAGGATGGAGAAACCCCCAAGCCCACCCCAGAACCCACAAACCGTCCGTCCTTTGCCAGGTGGGGAAACTGAGGCCCGGGGCCCGGGGTCAGGGGGCGGCACAGCCTTTCTCGAAGGTCCACGGGGCTCAGATCCGGCTCCGGCTCCCACCCCCAAGTCCGCGCGGCCCCACTGCGCTGACGTTCCCCAGACCCGGCGCTGGACAGCATCCGCCGACCCTGCCAAGCCTCCCGCCGCCGCCCCTCCCCGCGCCCGCGGCCTCTGGCCCGGGAAAGGGGGTCTCTGGAGGCGGGGTCCCCGGATGCCAGGGATCCTGGCACTGCCCCCATGGCACACAAAAGGAAACTGAGTCCCAGGGGGGCCGAGGACCAGAAGCCCACACGAGCGTCCCCAGGCAAGGGGCTCCCACATTTCCTGGGAATCCGAGACAGAGCCAACGCGGGGCCACTAGGTGCAAGGGGATGGCACCACTGAGCCCACGGGACTCCGGGTGAGCAGCCCAGGGGGGGCGCCTGAGGGCCTGGCCGGGAGCCCCCACCAGCCAGGAAGCTCCAAAGTCGACACCTGCTGGGAACCCAACCTCGCTGGCCCCGAGACAGAAAAACCATCTGTCCCTCCCAGGCCGACCTAATTATAGCCGATGGGAGCGGGGGGCGGGGCGCCAGGATCTGCCTGGTTCCACGCTGGTGCAGGGAGGTCTGTGGCCGGGGTTCCCCATGCTCCCGTGTCCCCAAGGGGAAACTGAGGCCCAGAGCTATCCGACAGGCCGGAAGTGAACACAAACGTGCCCAGCTCTTCCCAGCACCTGGCTGCGCAGAGGGGTGGCCGCCGGCCCAGGGTCACACTGGGACCCTCTCCAACTTCCTTTGTGCACTGGCTTTCTGTCCTCTGGCCTCCCCGAGCCTGTCCCGCTTAGTGCTTTATCAATTGTGCTATTCATGTTTTGTTAGTAGATCGCATTTTAAATATTTCATTCAGACTTTTACGGGCCGAGGACTTAGCTCAGTGGTTTCGCCGCCTGCTGCGCAAGCGCAAGGACCCGAGTTCGATCCCCGGTACCAAAAAAAGAAAAGAAAAGAAAAGAGTTTTACTGTGCCATGATTAATAGCTTGCATGATAGAGAAAGCCTGCAGGGAGGGACAGAGCCGGGACTTCAAACTCCGGCCCCGCTGCAAAAGGGACCAGGCTGAAAAGAGGGGGCAGAAGGCCCCACCCCGACTCTGTCCACATGCTGAGCGGCCCAGAGGTGCACCCCTGCTTTGATTTCCCCATTTTGACCGTTCCTTCTCTGGGCAAGCTCTTTTCTCCTTGGCTACCAGGAGGCTCCAGAGAGAAGGGAGACAGGGACCATGGCTCCTTTTCTTTCTTTTTTTGGGAAGCGGGTGTTGGGGATGGAACCCACTGCCCTTGAATTTGAATTCACCTCCCGGAGGTGCCCTGTCTCGGCAGCGGGATACCATGAGCTGAACAGGACGCCCTCCCACCCCCCAGCGCCTCCTACACCCCATCCTCTGAGTCTGAGGCTGTGCACATTCTGCTCCTTCTCCTGGGCCCACCTCTTCTATCCTCCAGGCTGCGCCTAGGCACCTGGCCTCCCTGCTCCCCTGAGGCGCGCAAGCCCCATACCCACGCGCACCCACCGCGTGACTCAGCACGTGACCGGCACGTGCACGGCCCAACCCCGCCTGCTTTCCCTTGCTCGCCCGGCCCCCTAGCCCGGCCCGGCTGTGCGGAGTCTGTTTGTTCTTTCTTGAAAACGGAAAATCCTGAGTCACCAGGAGGGAGGAGAGGGCCAGGGCCCCGCCGGTACCAGGGGACAGCGCTAGTCGCTCCCTCTGGGCCGCAGATGTTTCCCAGGGCCTGGCGGGGGCAACAAGCTAGGTCTATTGATAGAGTAAGAAACCGGTAGTCCCCGGTGGTCTGCGGCCCAAACTGGGAGACAGGGGAGCTGAGGGAAGCGGTTCACTGAAGGTCGCCGGGAACCTGGGGCCTGGCGAGGCCTGAGGGCCCCTCCTCCAGCCCAAAGGCCTGCGGTCGCTGGACGCTCTTCCTTGGGCTTTGAGCCCGACTCCTCAGCAAGCGACCCCCACATCAACTCCCAAGGAACGCTACTGCCCATCTCTAGCTTTGCTGTCTTTGTTTTTTGAGACACTTGCTGTGTAGCCCAGGCTGGCCTCGAACTCGCAGTGACTCTCCCGCCTCAGCCTCCCGAGTGCTGGGATGACAGGCGTGTGCCACCACGCCTGCTGAGAAGTAGCTTTCTACTAAAGAGAGCCACTCTCTGGGGAGGCAAGACCCCTGCCCTCCAGACCCCGCCCACTGCCTGCCCACCCACCTGAGGGTCCGCCCACAAGCGAGACCCCGCCCAAGTCCCGCCTTCCCTGGGCAGGCACCGCCCGCTACCACCCACTCGTCCACCGCTAGTCCCCGCCTCTTTCCGTCAGTCCCCGCCCCCACTACTTGGCCACCCCCTCCAGCCCCGCCCTGTAACCGGGCCCCGCCCCACCACCTCCGAGCCCCGCCCCCGCCCACCTACCGCTGCCGGAAGGAGGTGGGCCACGAGCGCCTTGTGGTCCTAAGCCCTGGCCGCGCGCTCCGAGAAGGGTCGCGGCAGCCCACGGGATTGTCGGGGTCGGAGTGGCAGCGTTGCTGGATGCGGATGGGGCGCCGGGGCTGCCGCCACAGGTGCTTCGGGGGCCTGGGGCAGCCCTGGCGGCCGCGCGTGCGGCCCAGACAGCTGGAGGCCTCTGCCCCTTCGGCGGCCCCCGGGGTGGCCATGCAGGGGGACCCCGAGCTGTCCCGCGCCGGCGCCCGGTGGGAGGAGACACGGGTGGGGCCGCAGGGCTCAGGCCGGAGCTTCAGGGTGCCCGGGGGTCAGGCGGGACCGGCGCTGTCCCCGGGCGGTGCTGAAAGGCGGGCGCCGTGGGCTGGTGGCCAGAGGCTAGGAGCTGTCCGCGCCCCGTGGTACTGACGCGGGGGGCCTTGCGGGGCGCCCGGTCCCCGGGGCACGGGAAACCGTGGGGGCCGCGGGACTGGGCCACGGGTCCACCCTGGGGGCGGGCGGAGTGGAGGACTCAGCTCCCCCTAATGAGCACCCCAGGGACCTTCGCAGACCCCCACCCCTCAGCGGTGCGGGAGGCTCCCGTGGGAGCCCAGGGACTCACGGGCGCCTCGGGCTCAGGCCCTCCGGAAACGGCAGCGGCAGCAGCTCATCGCCGTGAGCCCAGGCTGCTCCCGCCCACCAGGCCGGGTGGGTCCCAGGGGTTTTCCCCGGAGCTGAACATTTTCCACCACGGCAGCAGGGCGGGCGCGGGGTGGGGCTGCTCGGGCAGGAGGATGTGGGGCCGTGCAGCAGGTTCGTCCCTGACCCGTGCCCAGGCCTGAAGGGGTCAGACTGAGTTCAAGCCCCAGAACCACCCAGCTTGCTGTGGGAGGCATAGAAGGGTCTCCCCAAAGCAGGTGTGTCGTGGGCCGCTGTCATCCCAGCACTCTGAGAGGCTGAGGCAGGAGGGTCCCAAGTGATGGGAGGGAAATAAATGGCAGTGTCGTAGGACCTGAGGGCCATGCAGCCGGTCGCCCTCTGTCCTGCCCTGGCTGGCAGCGCTGAGCAGAAGCGTCCCTGGTGAATGCCTTGGTGATCAGCCCCAGCTTCCCACCTAGTCCCAGGCCCAGGGTCGCCTACCTGGACCCAGCCTAAGGCTCCTCCCGGGTCCTCGCTGTGTTCCCTCCGGCCCGGGAAGGTCCATCCTCTGCCCTGGCTCCCCTCGAGGCCCAGGGCCCTTCCCAGCCTCTCCTCTCCGGGGTCCTCCGCTCTGTTCCTCCCCCAGGCCACACCCTTCCCTGGGCCCCGCTGGCTGAGCCCCGGCCTTTGCTTCGCAGCCACGGCCAAGCAGCCCGCCCCGGTCCTCAGCCCCTCTGCTCCTCACCTGCCCGCCGCCGGCCCAGGGCTGCTCTCCGTCCCTCGAGCTCCGATGGTGAACACCACCCGGGCGCTGGGGCCCATCTCTCCAGGGGGCCCCGGGTGGCTGCACAGCAGGGGCAGCAGAGGGCTCCCCGAGAAGCGCCTCCGAATGCCACCGCCACCGTGGGGGCTCGCAGGGGCTGGGCCGGAGTCCAACGGCTCCCGGACCCGCTGGGGAGAGAGCAGGAGGGCGTGCCCACTTGCGTCTCCTCCTACTTGGTCCTTGAGCCCAGCTACCACTCAGAACCCCACTTTCCTCTTCCAGGGAAAGGGGTACAGATCTCAGCCTTGGGTTTTTACCTAAATTTTTTTTTGGGGGGGTGCCAGGGATCAAACTCAGGACCTTGTGCTTGCGAGTCAGGCAGTGGAAACACTGAGCTAAATACCCGGCCTTGGGTTTTTATTTTTGAGACAAGGTCATGCTATGTAGCCCAGACTGGTCTCAAACTCACAGAGATCCTCCTACCTCAGCCTCCTCAGTGCTGGGATGACGGGTGTGCAACATTGTGCCCCTGGTATACGGCAGTACCCAGCCTCCGGTAGGCTCTGCAGGAATTTCTATCTCTTACTTCCTGAACAGTGTGCACATTACCAATAAAGCCCCCTGTGCTGTGCGATGCTGGGATTCTAACAGCGCGCACTGAAAACCGGGCAGAGCTGCAGGCACCTGCAACCTCAGCTGCTTCGGAGACAGAGGCAGGAGGATCCCAAGTCTGGGCAGTTTACTGAGACTTTGTCTCAAAATAAATTAAGGTGGGCATACTAGGGTTCATCTCTCATCTCAGCACTTGGGAGGCTGAGTCAGGAGGATCACTGAAAGTTCAAGGCCAGCCTGGGCTACAGAGTGAGGGCGAGAGGGTCTGTGTGTGGTGCTGACCCCGGATCTGGTCACGAAATTGGAACTCACAACCGTGGGGGCACAGGTAGGGAACAGAGGGGACAGATGTGGGCACGGGAGTGGAGCTCGGTGGGCCTCGCACATGAGTCTGTCTCCAAATGGGGAGACTGAGGCCCAGGACCAGGCCAGCAGGTGTGCGGAGAGGAGGGAGGGCCACGGGCCCCCGGGAGCCTGGGTGCATGAGGTGGCTGCGGCTCCTCCGTCGCCCTGTCGTGGGGCAGATGCTGGCTTCGGGCTGGAATGACCGGTGAGGACCAGCACGACAACTAGGCAGCCATGGGCTCCGGGAGGCGGTGGGGTCCCCTGCTCACCTCAATCCGCAGGAAGGACAGTGATGTCCTGCTGCGTCTCATCCTGGTGGCAGGGACCTGGGGACAAGCCCATGAGACACTGGAAGCCCCCACCAGCCAGCCCTGGGGGCCACGTCACTCCATCAAGGAGCTGGGGACAGTGCCGGCGACAGGGAGCCCAAGGTCCTCCCCAGCCTGGCAGGCTCCGGGAGGGGCCCCCAGCTCCAGGCCGCAGGGGACCACGCAGCCCCCACCCGAGACCCCCAAAGTCTCACCAGGGTGTGGAGCGGCAGGCCTGGGCTCACTGGCTGCCACTGTCGTGCCCCTGCCACGTCCTGTGACCTCCCAGGGACCGGGAGGGGGGCCGGGCCGGGCCAAGAGGGCAGCTGGGTCCCCCTTCCCCAGGTGACTCCGGAACTGACCAGGAGCCTGGCTGCGGAGGGACCTGGAGGGCCAGGACGAGGTGGGGCTGGTGGGCAGGGCTGATGGGTGATGCGTGGGAGGGAGGGAGGGGACCCACTCCAAGCCGGCCTCGGCCTGTGCTTCCAGCAGGGCCTGTGACAAAGCAAGCGGCTCTGGGCATTTGGGGCAGCCCCTAGGCTCCCCCAAAGCCGCCCTCTGGGCTGTGACACCAGGCAGATCCACGACCCTCTCTGATCCAACCCTGTCCCTGAGCCAGAGGTGGGGGCTGCACCAGAACCTGGGCCCCCAGGACAGCTGGCCAGGCTGGGCAGGGGCGCGGGTGCCAGGGCAGAAGGGCCCGGCCGGTGTGGCCGAGCTGCTGGGTTAATGTTTGACCCACAGTGCCACCGCCCCCAAGAGATCATCAGAGCGAGACCCGGCTCCTTGGAGCCTGAGGCAGGGAGGGCAGAGGGGTGGGCAGCTCCAGGGTGCAAGGTGACAGCCAAGCCCCCTCCGTGTCCCTCACCCAGCCCCACCTCCCTCCTGGGCAGCAGGGGTCCCCTCCATCCCGGACGGCAGGGGACAGCTCCTCGGCCTCCTGACCTTTACACGGGCTCTGCCTCCACCCTGGAACCACGGCTTCCTGCTCCTTGGACCAGATCCATCTTGCCAAAGTCTCCAGTTGTGATAGATAGTGGCAGCAGGCAACTCCCTCGCAGAGTCCGGGCCTTGGGATCAAACCTGCACTCCCACTGCCAAAGCCCTTTCATCTGCTCAGCGCTGCTCTATCACCACCATGGCTCCCACCCCAGGACCTTTGCACACACCACATCCTCTTCCAGGAACACCTGTCAGTCCCCTCCCACTTCTCAGGTCCCTGCATGAGTGTTGCCTCCTGGGGACCTCCTCGGCGGCCCCGCAAACTTGGACACACGTGGGGGTGCTGGGGGAACCTCACCTCTGCCTCGTGACCCTAGTGCATCTGAAGCTCTCCCTGCAGCCCTGGATCTTGTCTCTCCCCTGACTGTGCTGTCCACAAGGACACAGACGCAGTCCCCACTGTGCTGGTGACAGAGAATGGGCATATAGTAGGTGGTCAGTTACTGCTCCTTGCGTGAATCCATGACATAGGCTGCCTCAGGTGAACATCTGGGATTTTATTTATTTGTTCATTGATTCTCTTATTGTTGGATAGACTCTTGCTTTGTTGGCCAGGCTGGACTCAAACTCCTAGGCTCAAACAGTCCTCCTGGCTCAGCCTCCCAAGCACAGCAGCTGGGACTGCAGGTGCCTGCCGTCCCCACTGTGCCGGAGCAGTGGCAGCTGCAGCCTCCCGGGCACCCAGCTGTCCAAGTTCTCTCTCCGGCCCGCTGCGGTCACTCAGGGGTAGTGGACTCCTGTTGGCTCACGCTGGCCTGGAGAGGGGGCATAGGGGCCACTCAGGCTGAGTGGAAAGGCGGCGTCCCCTGTCCGGCCAGCCCTAGCTCACCATGGACACCTCGTCCAGCACGAGGAATTCAGATGTGTCCCGGTGGCAGCGTCTCACAGCCAGCACCACGGACCCGATGAGCACCAGGGACACCACCAGACACACAGCCACCACCACACCCGGGTTGCGGCGTGATGCGGGGGTCAGGGTGTGCCCTGGGGGTGTGGAAGAAGCCCGAAGTCAGCCCCGAGACACAGACTCCCAGCAAGACCCAAAGCAATCCTCCTGCCTCAGCCTCCCAAGTTCTGGAATTACAGGTGTGCACCACCGTGCCTGGCTCCAGATACGTAACTTATAACCTCTCTTGCACGTGGGTATTATCGCCTGCCCTGCCCATAGCCCCACTGGTCCTGACATACGTTAGGCACTTATAAATATCTGTGGACCCAGCCCGGCATGGTGGTGCACGCCTGTAAACCCAGCACTTGGGAGGCAGAGGCAGGAGGACTGGTGCAAGTTCGAGGGCCGCCGGAACTATATAGAGACACTGTCTCAAAAAAACACAAAATAAATAAATAAAAATAAAAATACACATCCTTGGATGGGGCGGGCCCTGCCAGCGCTCCCGGGCCTGCGCCGCCGCCTGGTGGTCAAGGTCAGAACTGCAGGCAGATACCGCCGCGGCCTCCCAAGCCCCAAGCTCTTCCTTCCGCTTACCCTGGGGGCGCAGAGGGGAAGAAGTCAGCGACGCAGCCTCGGACACGGCAGTGAGCTCTGGGCTGGGAGACCCAGAGCCCGAGTGCGTGTCTGTCGTGGGGTGCAGGGAGGGGGAGGCCGTCCCAGAATCTGTTGGGGTGGCGCTGAGCTGGGCTGTGGTGATTTCCCCGGGACTTGGGGTGCTGCGCTGGGGGGTGGAGGTGTCCCCAGTATTGGAGGAGCTGGGGTCGGAGGGAGAAGAGGTCGTAGGGGCGGCAGATGAGCTCTCGGTTACCGACTGTGATGAAGAAACAACTAAAAAGAAAGAAAAGAACAGGAGGATAACAGGGAGCTGCGGTTACGACGGGTCGCGTTGGCTCTGGGGTGCCGCTCAGGGGTACGGAGCACTGCGCATGCGCGTGACCCTGGGCTCCCTCCCAGCACTCGGGAGGCTGAGGCAGGAGGATCACCACGAGTTCGAGACCGGACTGGTTTGGAGCTACATAGTGAGTTCAAGGCCAGCCTGGACTACATAATGAGACCCTGTCTCGAAAAATAAACGAACAGATAAATTTTAGAAAAGAGAAAAAGACAAAAAAGAGAGAGACAAAATGCCCAAGGCAATTCAGGGCTGCCTAGGAGTGCTCAGTGGGAAACTGAGGCTCCCTCGCGAGCTCAGGCCCTGTCTGGAGTCCATGCCCCTGTGTGGGTCCTTCCTGGCCCCTGCCCTTGCCCTTGAGCCCGGAAGCCCTCTGGATGAGCATGGCTGCACCCCGCAGTACGCTGACCAACGCTTAAACCTTCGGGAACTCATTTTCCTTTTACACCCAGTTTGTTTTTAATATATACTTTTTTTATTTTGAGACAGACTCTCAGTGAGTCGCGAAGTTGCCCGGACTGGATTGGCACTCGAAACCCTCCTGCCTCAGCCTCCAGAGTGCTGGGGTGACGGGCGTGCATCACCGCGCCCCGCTCCTTGGAGTTCTGCTGTGGTTCACTTTTGCCTGCCGAGGCGAAACCCGGGTCTGCACGCGGGCGGGCCAGGCCGGTGTTGGCCGCCGAGCCCCAGCCCTGAACTCAGAGCCGGGAACCGCACCGGCCGCGCCCCTGGCGCCCAGGACTCGCGGCGCCGCCCACTCCCGGCTCCCACCTGGCGGCGGGACGGAGCGCGGGCCAGGCTGAGGTGGGGAGCAGACAGGGCCCGGCCCGACTTCCTCAGGCCCCGGCGGGCTCGGCCGGGAGTTCGTTCATCAGCCGCTCCGCCCCTCCCGCTCCTCTGCCCCGGGCCCAATTTAGCGCCTCTTCCTGCCTCGCCTGGCGCAGAAACGCGGAAATGACCCTTGCGCCGGCCTGCGGGGGCTCCCCCGCCGCGACCCCGCCCGGGGTGACGGGGCTCCTGGTCCTGCGCGCAGACCCGAGGCAGCGCGGCCCGAGGGGCGGCGGAGGCCGTTCCACTCCCCAGAGCCTCAGTTTCCCCAGCTGTCAGGGGATGGACACGGTCCCTGGGGGATGAAGCCAGCGCCTGTCCATGGTGTCCCTTGCCTGCCAGTCACCGCGGATTCAGGGCCGGGACCCCGGAGGAGGGAGCTGGGGCGGCGGCGGCCGCAGCGGGGTCAGGGAGCCCCTGACAACTCCGGCGAGGAGCCCCCGCCGCTCCTGCCGGGGCGGAGCCAGCGAGCGCAGCTGAGGTGAGAACACGGAGCCCGCGCAGGACCAGGGGGTCCCAGCCGCCACGCCCGGCCAGGTCACCTGGGCTCAGGCACCCTCGCCCTCTGGGGAAAGGTGGCCCCGGAGGAGTCCCCAGGCGGGTGACACCCTGGGCCCCGGGCCCGCCCTCCTCCTCCCGCTTCCTGGAAACCCGGCCTCCCTCTTACCCGCGCTTACCTGTAGTGCCTGAAGAATATTCATTCCCAGAGAGTTTCGGGAGCAGGGTCAGGGCCATGATCAGCAGAGGCAGCCGCCGAGGTCCCGCCATTCCAGCGCAGCGAGTGCCCGCGGCGCCGCCGCCGGCCAGGGCCAGGTGTGCGGGCAGGTGGACGGGCGGTGCACCAGCGCGCGCCCCCTGCTGGTGGCCCGCGGGACTGCGAGGCGCGGGCGGGGCCTCGGGAGCCCCGCGCCGCCGTCCTGAACACCCCGCCCTGCGAGCCCGGCCCTCGGGATCCCGGCCGCCTCTCTTCAGCCCCGGCCACCGCGTCCTCTCTCAGGGTGCCCCAAACCCGCTCTGCCCACTCTGGGGACTGGGACACTTCGGGGGTGAGCCCAGTACCCCCCACCAGGATGGGGTGGGCCCTACTCTGGGCCGCGTCCCCCAAAGTGAGGTGTTTTGGTTTTATGGAACCCCGGCCTCGCACATGGTCAGCAAGTGCTCACCACGCGTTACATCACCAGCCCTTTTTAAATTTTGAGACAGGGTCTCACTAAGTTGGTTGTCCAGGCAGGACCTGAACTCACGATCCTCATGTCTGACCTCCTGAGTAGCTGAGATCACAGGGGTATGGCGCCAGATGAGGGCTTTTGGGGTGCACTGGAAGTGGCCAGATGCCACCTGCTAGGCGTGGAGGGAGACAGTGGCACACGGGACACCTGCTGGCCGCCCCTGACCTCCAGGGAGCACCGGGGCCCTGTGTGGGCCACAGACACAGAGCGGGGGAGCAAAGGGCATGGTCGGAGTCCTCCCCCAGGATGCCCCGATCCCACCAAACCCCAGACGCCCCCTTAACACAGAGCACAGGACGCCAGGCCCGGGCTGAGTGACTTTATTCAGCAGACGCAGCCAGCCACCGGCCCCTCCCCAGCTCTGAGGCAGCCAGGGTCCTACGCGCCAGGCCAGTGGGAGGGCGGCCTGGAGCCGCGCGGGGGGGCCCTGGGAGCACTGTCCCATGGGCTTCCTGTCGCCAAGAGCGCCTCGGGGGTGAGGCAGCTCCTCGTGTAGTGGCCCCGCCAGGTGGCCTGCAGCATCCTGGTGGCCGACTGCTGCTCCCTCAGCTGGCGTCGAGCCATGAAGCCTTTCCAGGCTGGCTGGATGGTGGTGGCTGCTGTATCCCACCGCTCCTGGGGGTCCTGGGGAGCCAGCCACGAGGCGCAGTCCCGTGGTGCGCCAACCTGGCCCATGCCATGCACCACCCGCGTGGGGAGCGTGTGGCCGCAGGTGTGGCAGGTGCGGGGAGTGGTGCCCACCAGCATCACCACGCTGGGCGGGCTGCCCAGCCCGGGGCTCAGGGACCGGCACAGGCTGCAGACGCGTGGCTGGCAGGACTGGAAGCAGCGGTGTTCAGCAGCTGCCTTGACCTCGCCACCCGGCTCTGCCCAGGCTGGTGGGAGCTGCATGTGCCAAGCACGGTCCCGGCGGACACAGTGGCCTCGCCATGCAGCCTGGATGACCGCGGTGGCTTTGTAGAGCTGCACCAGGTTGCATCGCACGTGGTGGCCACGCCAGGTGGCCTGGATGATGGTGGCCCCCTGGTGCCACACCTTGATGGTACGCCGCACCAGGTAGCTGCGGGCACACGCCTGGATGATGGTGGCAGCACGGAGGACGATCCTCTCCATGTGCTCCAGCGACGTGGTCAACTCCAGTGGCCCAGCCTGGCCTGCTCTGCCCCCTGGCCCCAGGCCCCTGGGTGGCTGCCATGCATTGTGGGGGGCCACAGAGCCGTCCAGGGGCCGGATCGCCATGCTGGGCAGAGCAGAGTTCCACGGCTGGCCACCACATGGGCTGGTGTCCGTGGGGCCCTGGGGGACACCAGGAGTCAGGGACAGCTTGCAGTGGCTCACAGTGGGACCCATGAAATGATGGGGTAGCTGGCCCTGGAGGGTCCCTGGGGTCAGGGACAGCTTGCGGTGGTGAGCCACGGGACCCATGAAATACTGGGGGGCTGGTCAAAGAGGGGCCACGGGTGCAGTCGGTGAAGACTCATGGCCCAGAGGCACCCTGAGAACTCTCGGGGACAGCCTAGGGACGCTTCTGCCCTGTGCCACCCCCATGGGTGTCAGGCCTGAGGCGAGTCTGGGACTGCAGGGTGAAGCCCCAGATCCGGGCGTCTGTGTGCGTGGCCAGGGCCGGAGCCCAGCTGCAGGCCCTTCTAGCAGCTCTGGGACCAGGCTGTCGTGGTGGGACTTGCAGGGTTTTCTCGTGCTGGGGGACTGAGCAGGGCTGTTTGGGGTCCGGTTCTGGGATGTGGGTTTCTGGGGTCCTCTGGGGGCAGCTTCCCCCTGGAGGAGAGCAGCTGTTGCCTGTTTGGCCCAGGACTGATACGCCGGGACATGGGAGATCACACCAGCAGCTCCCGACCTCCGGGAAAGCCTGGGGCTCCCTATTCTGGCTACAGACTCTGGGTGCAGACAGCCTGGGGCCAGCCAGGGCCCTCGTGAGGCCTGCTGGACACCACTGTCCCCAGGGACTCATGCGGAAATGCTGAGAGACCCTCAGGGCCCACGGGAGCCAGGGGCCAACACGTGGCCCTGTCTACCTTAGACTCCGCCTGCACACCAGGGGTCCAGCTGGCAGCTTCCAACTGCTCACTGACTTTGGCTGGAGAATCAGGGTGGCATCACTGGCCATGGGGTGCCTGCCTAAACTCAGGGCCTGGGCAGAGACAGAGGCCACATGGCTGGCGTGGCTGGGAGCCGCCTTCCTGAACGGTCACATTGGGTCTTTGGGAAGCGTCCCCTCTATGAAGAGGTCACACATCCCAGGGGACCGGGATGCATCCACACCATGCCCTGGAGGAGCTCAGATGGGCTGGGCTCCCTGCTGGACCCCAGTACCTGGGACAGACTCTCCTGTGCTGCTCTGGGCCTCAACATGGCCTGGCTACCCGGGGCCCCAGACATCCTCCTCCCAGGGTCCTGGGCAAACCATGATCCCCTTGACAGGGCTGTGGGCACTCGGCACCCCCTGGCTGCGTAACTCATAGCTGGGGCCCAAGGATGAGCTTGAGCCAAGCTGGTGGCACCAGAGCCCTGGGAGGAGCCAGCAGGATCCTCTCCAGCCCTGGCTCGGTGGAAAGGGTGGGGAGAGAGACCTACCAGCAGGGACCCAGGCGATGGGATGTAGCCCACACTCTTTGCCATGGAACCCAGGGATCCCTGTGGGCCCAGCAAAGCTGGGGGCAGCCTTGGGGCTGAAAATCTAGCCAGGGGTCCTTCAGAGAGACAGGGCTTCCCCCTGGGGCCAGATCCTGCCACCTGCCTGGGGACCACCCTACTGGCAACCATAGAGCATCGGGGGAGACCCTGGGCCACACTGGAACATACTATCCGTCACAGGCCCCGGGGGGGAGGCCCTGGGCCATGCCTCTGATGACAGACCCTGGGGGGAGACTGAAAGCCAGGCCACTAGTGTCTGGGACCACGGTGTCTAGGGTCATCCTGCCCGCAGAACCCGGCACAAGGCCACCGCTGGCCATGCTCATCCCAGGGCTGAGAGACAAACCTGCATACTGGCAGCTGGATGGGACTGCGGTGGCCACGTCAGGGGCCTGGTGGTCCAGAGTCACTGGAAAAGGGACGCTGGCCGGACATACACTGGACTCCAGGTCACCCGGTGACAGCTGGGCCTCGCTCCTCCTGGGTCTCTGGGGCACCACAGCTGGAGAGAGGCCCTGGCCCAGCCCTGAGGTCCCTGAAAGTCCCCGGGGCATCACAGGAGCAGGAGTCTCCAAGACCTGGGATGCCATGGCAGCTGTGCCATCAGCCATGGGACATCGGCTCACAGAAACATCCTTGCATGGCCAGGAGGTGCCCCCAGCCAGGCCAGCTCGGGGAGCCCCCGGGGACAGACTCAGGAATGCACCACCAGCCATGTGGCCCTGGGGTATGCTGGCAGCCACCCCCTTGAGCCAAGTGTCATGGGACATACAAAGTCCCCAGAGTGGACCGGGGTCCTCCTCGAGGGCCATGCACACCTGACGGGGGGGGGGCTGGAACAGCGGCTGCACTTGGCCCCTCGCAGATACTGGGGGCTGATGGAACTCAGGCCACATCCCGTCAAGCTCAGGGTCCTGGGGGTTTAGGGCTGCGCCGGTCACAATGAGGGGATCGTCCCTCGGCCCCATGCCGTGCCCCACAGGAGCCTGGTCCAGGGCCCAGCCCCGCTGGCTGGCTGGCCACCCCAGGGTAGGACCTGCCAGAGCCAGCAGGCACCAGAAGGGACGGGCGATGCTGAGCAGGTGTGGCACTGTGTACCCTCGAGCCCGGCAGATCGGAGCCGCTCAGAGACGGAAGGTGGCTCGGGGAAGCTGTGACCTCCCCCAGACCACGGGTCACCGGACCAGGCTTGGGGACCCCAGATTGGCCACATGTGGCTGGGATGCATAAGGGGCCATCCTGGTACCCAGAAATGGGCGGGCCCATCTGCAGGCCATCCTGCGGGACAGAGGGGCTGGCTCAGGCCTGGGGACAGCTCACTGGCCATAGGCTTGGGTTTATCCCGCAGACTCCGGGTGGCTGGTGTGACCCTGGGCCCATGCCGCTGCCCATAGACGGGTGGCCCAGGCCGGGGTGTGACCTGGTGGACACAGTCGGCTGGGACAGGCTTGGAGTTGGCCCAGAGGACTGGCCTGGGCATGAGGCTGCCCTGCTGGTCAGCAAAGGTTGAGAGGGGAGACAAGAAAACCTGGGGGCCACAGACGGCTGCAGGCCCACGGTGGGGAACTCAGCGCCCAAAGACAGTCCTGGGGCCGTTCTCTCAGTCGCCTCCACGGGGCTCTGTCCCTCCTCCCCCTCTGTGTCCCAGTGGATGCCCAGGGCCAGGCAGCTGGACACCAAGGTGTGGCACAGGCCAGGTGTGCGCTCGGGGCCTCCGGGGTGGGCAGGGGAGACGCAGGCTCAGGGACCTCGGGGTGGCTCCTGTGGTCTTTTCTGGGTCCCTCGGGTTCTGGGGCCGCCTCACGGGCTCCCGAGACACCAGGGCCTCCAAGTGGGGCTCCCCGTCCCGGCTGCCCTCCCCAGTGTGGTCCAGGACCTCGATAGTGGCCACGCTGCCCATGGACGCGGGGGAGAGGCTGGGCGAGCTGTGAGTCACTGTCACCCGGGTCGTGCACTGGGCCAACACACTGGGCACGCTGCCCACCAACTCACCGAGGGGGGACCCTAGCAGGCCGGTCGGAGGCTCCTGGGAGGAGGGCAGGAAGGAAGCAAGACCCTGGGCTGGATCCTTTTCCTGCTGGGTGGACGTCTGGGGACAGACTGGCACCGACCGAGTCCTTGTGGACGCTTGTGACATGTGGCACTGTGGCACCCTGCCATGGACTCGGGGTCTCCTCATCGATTGCTGGGGAGGCTTGTCTGGGATTTGGGGGCTGAGCTCTTTTGAGGTTTTCTTGAGTGGGCTTGGATGGCTGCCTCAGGCCTCTGCCCGTGGTGGGGCAAGGGAGACCGGGACTCCCCTCTTTGGCTCCCACAGATTGACGCCAGCAAGCTGTACCCTGACCCGTGGGGGAAGGCGGTTGGGAGGGGTGCCCCGCCCTGCCCCCGCTACCCAGGGCCTGCCGGAGGCCGTGCTGCCCTCCCCCGACGATGTCCCAGGGCGAGGGGCCACCCTGCTGACCACGTGTGGCTGCTGGGCGCTTGGGGCTGGGCTGCGGGTCACCGACAGCCGGCCGGGGCTTGGGGCGATGCCCGTGGTGATAAACACCTGCCAGGGGCTGAGGGGTGCCCGGGCTGCTGGGGCTACCCCCGCCACGGGATTGGCCTCGGATGCCAACCTGCCAGCCCCTGGGGTTGGGCCTGCCTTTCCCTTTCTGATCTTAGGGCTCAGATCAGGGCCAGAGAAGACCCTGGCCCATCCCACCCGCGCGACAGCAGGAGGCCCAGGCCAGTGGCCAGGGGGCACGGGCGGATCCCGATGGGCACCCTCGTGTTGGAGGCAGGGATCACCAGGAAGTAGGCCGAGCAGGGTGACCCCTCGAGCGTGGGCCCATCGCCCCTGTCCCCTGACGGGCCCACGCAAAGCCCCCCAGATTCGCACACCGCGCATCCTGACCTTGCGGGACTGCGGCCGCACAGGGCAGCCCAGGCAGGGGTCCCACGCCATCTCCTCCGCCGAAGCCAGAGGCAGCGGCATCTTGCTGCTGGCGACTTCTGAGGTGGCCTTGGGGAGGATGGCGGCCAGCTGGGCCCGGGACAGAGCCTTCGCCAGGGCCATTCCCAGCATGCCCTGGGGTGGGGCCTGGCCCACGGTGGCCCCCAGGCCCTCCTCGGACAGGGCCTGGTTCAAGGCGGCTTGCACTTCTCCCTGAGAGAGGACCTTGGTCAGCAGTGTGCACAGATCTTCCCTGGAGTCCAGCACAGCGGCCAGCTCCACGCAGAGGGCAGTGATCTGCGAGGCCGCCACATCCTCCTGGCTGGGTGCTGGCGGCTGGGCCTGCGTGGTCTTGCCGTCACCCCAGGGTTCCACATTGCAGCTGGGCTGTGTGGCAGCAGCGGCAGCCACCAGAGAGACCAGTGTACCCTGCGGCTCTGGGGCCGTGGGGCGGGGGCCTTGGGTGGCCTTGCCCTGTCTGTGGTCTGGCTTGACACGGGACACTGAGCTGAGAGTCCCCGGGTGCCGGCAGCAGGGGGTGGATGCTGTGGGTCCGGTCAGCAGCGGGTGGGACTGGGCCTTGCTGCCGAGGTCAGTGGACTGGTGGGCCGCATGGATGCGCTGGGTTGCATCTGTCACCAGCTGGGTCTGGGACTGCGCCCTGCTCAGACACGTGACGAGGTGCACCAGGGACAGTGCCTTGGTCAGCCTGCTGGGTGGAGGGGCCCAGGGAGCAGCCTTGGCTGCGCGGGCGGCCAGCTGTGGCCGGGACAGGGCCTGGGTCTGCTCGGTGGGCAGAGGGCCACGGGACGTGGCTGGCAGCCATGTGGTCGGCTGTGCCTTGCACAGATGTGCCTGGGACGGCACCTTGGCCGGCTGCCCCAGGGCCTTGGCCAGCACAGCAGCCACCTGAGCCTGCGGCAGGGCCACTGCCACCTGGATGGGCATGTACACCTGGGACTGGGCCTCGAGAGCTTCCGTCCTCAGGTGAGTCTGTGACAACGGCTGCTTCTGGGCCTCGCTGACTCCGGCCCACGGTAACGCCCTGGTCGCTTGCGTTGCCACGTTGGTCTTAGACCCCGTTTCCTTGGTCGCCAGCTTCTGGACGCCAGTGTGGGTTTTCTCGGCTTGGAAAGGTTCCTTTGTTGGAGCCCTGGGAGCCCCAGTTTCCAGACGGGGCTGGGGGACGCCCCCGACTCTCCCTTCCGCCCCACAGCGAAGGTCTGAGACTTTCCCTGTCCCTGCTGCCACCTGCCCTGTGTTTGCGGGGCCCCTGGTCCTCGCTGCGTCCGGATGCAGGCTGGATGAGCTGCTGGGGATCCCAGCCTGTCCTGCGGCTGGGGGTGCAGCCCTGGGGTTTCCAGCAGCCGGGAGCGTCAGGCAAAGCATCTTGAGGACGGCAGTGACGGACCGGATGTGGGCTGGAGTCCTGGTTATGATGCCCGGGAGGCGCATCTGGGCCGGGGGCTTGGTCGTGGAGGTCGAGGGGCCCAGCTGGGACGGGGCTTTGCACACAGTGGCTGGCTGAGCGGTTTGCAGCGGGCTTCTGACTGGGGCGGTCGCCGGGAGCATCTGAGCTGAGGTCTTTGTCGCCACGGTCACTGCACCTGGCTGAGGTGGAGCCCGGGTCACGGGGGCTGTGGGGCACGACTGCGGCACAGCACTGGCCAGCAAAGGTGTTGGCCGTACCTGGGCGTGGGCCTTGGTCACTGCAGGTGCTGGCTGCCTCTGGGCCGGGGTCCTGGTCGCCGCAGCCACGCGGTAGGTCTGGGATGGAGTTCGGAGGGGCTCTGCTTCCACATGGGCCTGGGTCCCGCGTGGTCCCGACATTGCCTGGCTGTACCTCCCGGATGGCGGTGGCTCCAGGGGCCCCGCTTCGGTGCCTCTGGAAGTCACATACCTGCACTTCCCTGTGTCCACCCCCACATGGCTGCTGGCAAGGTGAGGGCTCCTGCCTGCCATCGTCACCAGGCCCGGCTGGCATTTGGGATCTAGGCTCCCCAAGGATGGAAGGCTGTGGGCTGTGGCCTGGTGGGGCAGGACGGCTGCCACAGGGGCACAAGGGGCCTGCATCTCTCTGTTCACCACGGTGGGCTGGGGCTGGAAGCGCACCTGCTGTGGCGGGTGGTAGGGGATGTTGCCCTCCTCCGCCTGCGTCCTCACCATCAGCTTGCTGGAGCGCCAGAGGCGCCGGGTGCTGAAGCGCCGCCAGGCCTCCTGGATGGCCCTGGCCGCCGTCATCTGGGACATGAGCTTCTGTTGGAGCCGGTGGCCCCTCCAGTTGGCCTGGATGAGGGTGGCCGCCCGTGCGTGCATCATGTCCATCTCATCCACCAGGATGTTCTGGAAGGCCTGGCTCTCCACCACCGCCCACAGGCGCGGCACACGGTGGGGCGCTGGCTGCTGGGGCCCAGGCTCCTGGGAGCTGGGGGCCACCTGCTGCGGCTGTGGAGCTGGTTTTCCCACAGTGCTGTCTTGGAGATTAGGCGTGAGCTGGGGCTGGAGGGAGAAATTCCCACTTGGTGACAGGTGGTTCATGACCAGGAGCTGTGTTGCTTGCTGGATTGTGTTGGTCCCTGAGCAGGTCAGCTGGGCCTGTGGAGGGCACAGGAGGGTGACTGTGAGTGGGGGTGGGGGTGGATGGATGGGTGGGGCGGATGGAATGGTGGATGGTGATGCATAGGGGAGGCATAGATGGCAGGCAATGGGGTGGTGAGGGAGTGGGTGCTGTGGCTGGGGTGAATGCTCACCCTGAGACCTAGATCATCTTGTCTCTGGTCCTTTGCTCTCCTGATCGCCTTCCTAGATGTCTCTCTCATCATCCCGCAGCCATACTAAAGATGACACCCAGTGCATGTTCTCACCTGGATGCTGGACCACTACCTGTCTTCAAACTGTCTCATGTCTCAAATACTCCCAAGAAAAGCACTGATTGCATTGTTTCAGAAAGTCCCCGTTTGTCTCTGCCTGTGTGTCTGTGGCACTGATCTTTGGCTCCCCCCAGTGACTGAACTGTCAATAGGGACCAGCTCTGAGTCATTTAGGGTCCCCATCTCAGTCACAAGGCCTGGATCTGGCCTGTGACAGGTAGGTGTCATGTGGGTGGGTCTCTTGTCCAATAAATGAATGAGTGGATTGGAAGTTGGATGGACAGATGGATACAGGACTAGATACTACATGGGTAATCTGTAGATGAAGGACTGCATGGGCTGGATAGATGGATGGATGGATGGATACAAGGTTGGGTGAAGAAGGGATAGGTAAATGAAGTTGAAGGAATTGATGAATCAGGAAACAGACATGTAAATAGATGGACAGACAGATACACGGATAGCTAAATAGATTTGCGTATAGATGAGTAGATGCCAGGGTGGGTGGGTAGGTGAATGGGTAGACAATTGGATAAAGGGAAGGGAGGAAAATGGGTGGGTGAATGGAAGGATGGAATGATGGGTGGGAAAGAGAATGGATGATTCATGAATGTGGATGCATTGATGGAGCTAAATCCCCGGGCAATGATGGATATTTTAAAAAAATAATGTATCTTGATCTAACTCTCACTCATGGTTAAGTACAGAGATTCTACAGAAAATAGGATCAGTTATCAAAAGTATATTATAGGGGCCAGGGATTTAGCTCAGT